TTTTTCCCTTGTAAAGTCAATCCGGGAACATACATACAATATACAAAATTCACAAAACACTAGATACAAAAAATACACATTTAATTATTTAATTTTTTAAAACCCATGAAAGTATAGTTGTCAAACTAATCACTGTTCATTATTAGTCATAAACTGCAGTTTTTCAGAAACAATTATCATTTGTTCTATCAAGAGACGACATGAATATGATTGTAGTTTATCTATCTTAATCACTAACTAACTAAAAACGTTGTAATTTTTAAAAGGGTGAACAAACTAGAGAACATTATCCAATTTTTCAAAATTTGTAATCGAGTTCGTGTCGGAATATGTATATTATTGATTGTATCTTACAGGCGCAGGCCTCGTAAAATTATGTGAAACACCCTGTATTGTAGGTGTAGTTAAAATCTCTTGGAGGATGTTAACGTTAGTGTTGTCGACTAACATTCTTTAAACAAAATTTTATTGAATCTTAACAAGAGTAAAATATACTTAGAAAACAATCTATTTTTAATATTGTGCCTAACTAGAAAAAATACGTAAAAATTTATTCAAAATTCACATTTAGAAAACATGAATTCCACTATAAATTTATCTCTCATGAATCTCAAAAAAATGTAAAAGTCCAACCAAGTGCTTATAAGTTTGCTGCATGTGACAGGTCTGTGGGTACAGTTGGAGACAAAATACTTTGGTCGTCAATGTCACTTGAGTGACATTAAATTGTAAAGCATGCTTTAGGACTGTTAACCTTATTTTATTGTCTATCATAGTTGACAAATTGTGTGTACATATTTTTGATAGGAAAATATAATAGCTGTCATTAATTTGAAATTGTCATTTATTTTAACGTTAAAGTTTGAATTACATTAAAGTGTCAGAAAAGTGACGACCAAAGTATACTCTTTTTCATATTAATGTGCATCAGGTAGGTTGGAGAAGTCTAAATAAATCTTTAATTTAAAGGCCTATTTACACAAAAAGTGCCATTAATGTCATTCAGAACAAATTTAATCACATCAATAATGACAAAAATCTTTAAGTTTGCCACACTATGTTAATTACGTTGTTAATTTTAATTATTTTTTGCTACATGAGGTACACATTTACTCGCATTTGAAAAAATAATTTTTAAGAAAGATTAAGGTTAGAATTTTCGCATGTTTGCCACCTTAAAATGATCCCTTGCGATGCACATTAATATGAAAACGATTTTGTCTCCAACTGTACCTACTTTATTCTACTAATTTTCAGTTTTTCAAAAATCGGGTCTATTTTGTTTTTGGGAAAATATTATTAAAACAGAGGAGCAGTTAAAAATATAAGTTATAAATTCGATTGGTTCTCAAATTTAAAACTTAGTAATATCCAAAAAAAATCATACACAAAATCAGTGACATAATATTTATTTAAGTATTTTAACTTTGCTAAAATGAAGCAAAAATATTTCAAACAAATGAGAAGTTCCAGAATACAAGGACAACTGTATTTAAAGAGAAAGAGACAGCTGGTAGGTTCTGTTAATAAGAATAGGTATAATAAAAAAATGTATTGTGCTAGTACAGTAATCACTCAGTGGCTTGGTCATTTGTAGAAAAATAGTCTACGGTTTTCATTAGTATTGTTTCTTTTCGTTTTACTACTATTTGATTACAATAATAATCAATCCAAACTTGAAAAAATAAGTTTTGTGTTCGTATTGCTACAATAATTCGTTTGCTTCTAGAATGGGCTTGGATTTGACATAAATGTGTTGAAACTGTATTTCGATTAATAAGATTTCTTAATTGAAAGTTTTGTTTGAAAACGGCTATTTTGTATGCAAGTAATGTAGAGCATCATATTTTAAACTTGCTCCAAATGCCATTTGGTTGCTAATTTATCCCCAATCCGAGCGTTTCGTTGTTTGGTACTGCTGTCGCGTGCACTGCAGCCAAAGCCTCTCTCCACCCAATAAAACGAAGAATGACGGCAGTCAGAGTGAATTTTAACAGCGATTAATGTACAGTCTTCGAAAATGCACCGGTACACGAAAGTAAACCGGTCGATTCAGGTAAATGATGGCCGGCTGTTCCGTGCTTTGTTTTATTATTATTTTCGAGTCGCTGCTTTTTCTTTCTATACACCACATGTGATGATCATAATTATTGCAATGATTGTAAAAATCGTTTTTTTCTTGTTCCAGAAATGAACGAGTTGCGACGTCTCGTCCCCTAGTCCTAATTAGGTGAGTTTTTGCATCTAAAATTCCTCAAAGACTGTAGCAATAATTAACAAGTTTTACAATCGTCAAAGCAAGATTGGAGATTAGCGCGTTTCGGAATGCTCCGAGTAAACAGCTGTCTCATGGGCTATTTTCCCCTCATACTTGCCGCACACACATGTAAAAGACGTGTTTTTTCGGTTCGGAGCTTCTTATTTACGATTCTATTCCTGCATAAGCAATTGCCTGCCACAGTGGGAGTTCGTTAGTTCGTTGCAGAAGATCGATGGCAGCTTCGTTTATGTAACACGTTAATAGGTGTAGATACATTATTCAAACAACAGTTTTTCCTGCTTTTATTATGTTCGCCATGTATTGAAAATTGAAGAGAAAGTTCACTTCATGGGTCAATTTGACGACGCATCGCGCTGTGGTATTTGATGATAACAACATTTTCGAGAACAGGTAGAACTCTAAAAACGTTTTGGGACGCGATATCGATCTGGACAGAGTCGGAGACATTGTCTTAAAATTATTAATCATCCACTTTTGTTATTTTTTGATTATTTGATTACGAGACAATGTTATATTCTGCGAATTGGTAATTTATTATGTGCGACTACAATATTTTTATTGTTTTCAGAGGAGAGACCTTGACTATAATAAAGGAGACCTTAAATTACTTGTGAATAGCAATGATCGCAAATACAGTGTGAACGTCCCTCTCAATCAATGCGATCATAATTTACCGACTATTTTTATTAAAAGTTGTTGGAGTTGTGCAAATCAAAGCCATTATATCAGTCATTTTTTCGTACTAAAAATCAGTGACAAATTTAAAGGAAATGAGTTTTCACTACTTTTATGTTGATTTTATTTCTCAGATCTAGAGAATATGAATTTTATATGGATCACAAAAATAAGAATGGTGGATATATTTATGTAATTTATGACTTTATTTTATATGACAGTAAATAAAAGGTAGACGTTTATGAAGAGCAAAAACACGAAATTGGAAAAGAACGACGTTTTTTAAGACTTTTTTTGCGTTAGAATGAAAAATGACAATTTCGTATCCCTGATCATTTTATTATAATTTTTTTAAAGTTAATAATTATATTACGGGCAGTGGATAAAATTTATGTTTATGCTGAAGGTTTTTTTATTTAAAATCAAAATTTTTCATTTTGAAGAAGTTGATAATTTCTGCCATGCGTTCAATTGAAGTGACATGTGATGTGGCTTTGAAATTAGGTTGGCAATAGTGTATTATGTAGTGACTGCAAATCATTGTAAAGTCTGTTTTTTTTAATGGAAATGCCAAACAGTCTTAACGTTGGCACGACTAGTAAATTCATTCATGGTAATTTTAATAAAGGGTTGGCAGTTCTGGTTTTTTGAATTAATTTGAAAACATTGTCATTAAATGTCAACACAAAAAATTGTCTAAGAAAATTTAGAGACGAAACACCAAAAAAGGAACAAATTCGGTACCGCTAACAGTTTTTAGAAATTTGGAAACGAATAGTTTGCAAGCAGAAAGTTAGAAAAAGGGCCCGTTAAAATGTAGTTGCATTTTTAGCAAAAAATTGATAAGAATACAAAATAAACATGAATGAGAAAGAACCTCGGAAAGAACGCATTTAAATTAGTGTCTTATGCATCGTTTTTGAGGAACGAGTTGAAAAAGTAACAATTTTGAAACTAAAGTGAAGAAGCATTTAAAAAATGCATCCACTTTGAGCTCATTTCAATAAATTACACAAAATTTATTGCCAATCATCATAATACCTACTTGTATCTTTTGTTAAATAATCCTTTTTCTTCAAAGTTTTTGTAGCAAGATCCTTACTTTTGTCCACAAAATTGTACTTATTTGCGGTGTGTTTCTATCAAAGTTATTAGCACTGAATTTTGTTTTTAGACATTAGATAATGATGTCTGTCCTCAGGTATTCAATTATAGCGCTTTCAAAGAGCAAACAAGCACACAAGATTTATAAAAGTCACAATTTTGGCAACATCTGAATTTGAAAACATAACCATATTTTTTTAACAAATTTTTAGGGATAAAAACAAAGAGCAAACAAAATTTGTGGCTATGGAGACAAGCTGCTACCAATTTTTTCACCAAAATTTTGTCTTGGTTACTTCCATTAAAAAAAAAACAAACTTTACTTTTTGTTGTCGAGAAGTTAGGCTTCAAATTTGAAATCATAATTTGGCAACACTGATTATCAAATACAAACATTACGATTTTCTTAGTCAACTGTCACCTGAAACTCGTCACCTGAAATAAGCTTAGAGTTAGATACATTAGATTGTTGTTACCAATAAAATTTTGTTGTTATAATAATTATCTCTACATTATTCAATGTTTCTAAAGAAATTACTTCAAAAAGAGAAAGAGTTCAGTTCCTTGAGATGCAGAGGAGTGAGTATGTTACACCATTTTGAATCATCCTGTATTATATACTATCAAATTCATAAAAAAACTAGTACATGGATTAAATTTTGCTACATGAAAATGTCAAATATCTGTCATTATGACAATTTGAATTTTTAGTTTTAAAGCACTAAATTCTTAAGTACACTTGAGTACAAAAAAAAAACGCAAATTGATTTTTTTATAATGTAATTTGGACAGTTTTTTGACATTATCTTTGTAACAATTCACAATTTCATAATAATTATCAGGCATCTTCCAAACTTCTAGCAAGTTTTTCTATGTTTTTCCATTTCGTTTGTAACACTGACTATGACACTGCATTGGCAAGACCACCAAATTCGACATTTCTTTTGTTTCTAACCTTTTTGGGAACAACCCTTTTCACACTATGTAAATCTCTTATTTTGTTTTTGACAGTTTGCGTTTTTTTGCACTCAAGTGTATGTTTTGAAAAAGACGCTAAATTGCAAATAATAGGTAGACCAACCACCACAAACGTATGTAGGGTGTTTAGTTGAGCTGTTAAAATTAGTGACCATTTAACATAAAGTACGTGGAAATGTTACACTACAAAATTTTTGAAAATTTGAGGTACAGTGATGGACAGTGAATTTCGTCCACCCCATTTCCCTGACAGATTGAAAGTGTAAATAAGTCTTTAGCTTTTTCTAACCTTGTTTCAGAATTTTGATTAACGTTTGTCATGTTGACAGAATGCTCGATGCTTCTTGCTACTTTTTACCTTTCTCCTTTGTAGTGGTACTAGTGGTAATCCTTGGTATGCCCAAAAGTATAGAGACATGTCTTTGAGACATACCTTCTTGAACCAGAATTTTTATTTTATTATGTTCGAATTTGATTAAATTTGACAATACGTATTTTAATGTCAGTTATCATGACAATAAAGCACAGACTACAGTGAATTTTTGTGAATTCACAGAAATTGGGTGGACGAAATTCACTGTCCATCACTGTAACTACGACCTTTTGCTGTCCTAGTTTTTTATGAATTCGATAGTATAGAATTCAATTTCCGAATACTATGAAACCAAAATTTGTTTTGTTTATGTGTATAATTCTGATTTTTTCAAGGTCTTTTAATTGCTTCAATTAATTTAAATTTTAAATCAATCAGCTGCATTGTAATTTACGTCAAGTATAAAATTTACACTTGAGTATAAAAAACGCAAATTGTTTTTTTTTATAATGTGTCAGTTTTTTGACGTTGTCTTTGTCACAATTCACAATTTCATAATTGTTATGCATCTTTCAAGCTGCTATCAAGTTTTTCCATGTTTTTTCCATTTCCCCATTTTGTTTTTAACACTGACTACTTATGACATTGCACTGTCAATACCACCAAATAACGCATTTCTTTTGATAATTTTCTAACCTATTTGGGAACAACCTTTTTCACACTATGTAAATCTGAAAAATTTGACAATTTTGTTTGTGACAAACTCCAGTGTATCATTTACATTAATTTCTCCTCTCTAATATTTAATTCTTTATTAGCTTTATCGACAATACAATGGATACATTTACATCGAAATTCCAATTTACATAATTGTTTGATAAACTAGTGTCGTTTAGTATTTTATTGCATAGATTTAACTTTTTGTTTCTTTTTTATTACTACTTTAATAATAATAATAATGAATGTTATCGTTATTGCCTGGGCACATTTCACAGCTAATTGTTTCACTTAAAAAAACCAGAAACACACTGAACTGAAGTGTGTCTTTCTAAAATCACAGCAGATGGTAAGCGTCTTACCATTTCTCCATCATCTAATTTTGTCTCCGGTTATAAACTCTTTGTTTCATTTCCCGTTGAAACTGAAATTTCTCGCAAGTCAACCCAAGATCGTTCACCTTATCCGACACAAGAACATCATCAAGAATTTCTTTTTTCCTCGTCGGAATTAAAGAGCCCACCCACTCACACTATCGAGGGGAGAACTAATCTAGGTCGAAGGTCAGGGACGCTATCATTTCACCAGGTCAAGTTCACCCTCCCGCCTTTCCTCTGACCTTCATTTACATTACTACATTCAACCGGTGCAGAATTTTTAAAAATGTTAACCGACAAACGTCAGTTTTATCTCTCTTCTACGCGAGGAAAACTGTGTTAATAAATAAAGAGGGGGCAGAAACGTTTTTGAGATTTTTATCATAACACAGGGCGACAAAAAAAGTCATGTCGTGACAACTTGACAAATTATATCATTTTGTTCGTCTCTGTGAGACAAATCAAATGCACTAAAAAAAATTTAAAAAGTCCACACACTTTGAACTAAATATTTTTTTTCTAATTGAAATGAATTTAAAATACTTTAACTTTAAAAAATCATTACTCAATAACTATTTATTAGGCCGATTTCCTTCAAATAAAGACCATTCTAAAGGGATGAACTTGTCCTTTAGAATGATATGCAATTTGAAATTGAATATTGGCAAACTTTTTTTCGAACAGTGTTCGAAAAAGTTCGAGGTAAATCGAAATAATCTAAGAAAAACCCTACGATTTTTTTTCATCATTACCATCGTGTAGAGCATCTCTTTATTAGTTGTAATCCAAATTTTGAAAAAAATATACCGAGTAGTTTTCAAGATATGATTTTTTGAAGTTAAGGTTTGCTAATCAAGCATTGCTCTATATAGGAGAAATACATGTTAACCTTACTTAAAATTGCATTTTTATAAAAGCATTTGTTTTAAGACTCTTCTTTTGCTTAAAAATGGTCAATTGTACCTTCTTTGTTCTAATTAGAATAAACAAAAACTGTTTGTTTACTTAAAACAAATAAAGAGTACCTGCGCACTAATTAAAGCAAATAAAGAGTTTTTTTGTTGTAAAAATGACCACTGATCATTGAGCAAAGAGGATTTAGAAGTTTAAAGCACGAGCCTTAAATATAAAGGCAAATCTTTTTTAAATCAAATCACTTTCCATTCAGATTTCGACTTGTTCACTTTGTTCTAGCTTTCTGGACTTTTTTTTTGAAAATGTTCTGAGCAAATGCTTTCTCATCACTTTCGAGTGATGTTAAATGCAATTATGCATGCATATTAGTTGTTGTGGTAACAGTTGCACACAAGAAACTGACTTATTGCATTCAACATCAGTAGAAAGTGATAGAAAGCATTTGCTGAGAACATCTTCAAAAAAAAGTTCAGAAAGCTAGAACAAAGTGAACAAATTGGAATCTGAATGGTAAGTGATTTAATTTGAAAAAAGATTTGTTCATATATTTAAAGCTACTGCTTTAAACTTCTAGATCCTTTTTGCTGAATTTTTAGAATTTTTAGAACAAAAAAAAACTCTTTATTTGCTTTAATTAGTACCTAGGTACTCTTTGTTTGTTTTAAGTAAAGAAACAGTTTTTGTTTATTGTAATTAGAACAAAGAAAGTGCTATTGACCATTTTTAAGCAAAAGAAGAGTCTTCAAACAAATACTTTTATAAAAATGCAATTTTAAGTAAGATTAACATGCATTTCTCCTATATGGCGCAATACCTGAATAGCAAACCTTACCTTCAAAAAATCATATCTTGAAAACTACTCTTTATATTATTTTAAAAATTTGGATTCTTACTAATGACGAAGAAAAAAAAATTACTCGTAGGGTTTTTCTCAGATTACTTCGATTTACTTCGAACTTCTTCGAACACTGTTCGAAGAAAAGTTTGCCAATATTCAATTTCAAATTGATTATCATTCTAAAAGCCACTCCATCCCTTTAGAATGGTCTTTATTTGAATGAAATCGGCCTAATAGTTATTGAGTAATGATTTTTTAAAGTTAAAGTATTTAAAATTCATTTTATCTGCAAACGTCACAAAAGTGACCACTTTTATGACTAAATGACACAGGTAAAAGTTTTACTTTTCAGACATAGAGTAAAAACACTGTTTTTACGCCTAGGCGTTTTCACTTTTACTTGACACTTACTTTGACATTTACCACTGTTGTCTCTTTCTTGTCCCTTTCGCTTTTTCAGCATTTTCTGGAGAAGTACAAGGTAGATTATCAGCATTCAACATTTTGCACTATAAACTACACCAGTTATTCACCAGTTAAATCAATCAACACTTTCGAAATCTCAACACAAATTCCGAAACTGACGCGTGACGTTTGTTATGATTTTATTGCAAAGTGTCCTGATTATTGAGATAATTTACTTGATTATTGGTATGTTGCTCTTTTCTCTCCATCTGAATCGTTTGCAGATAAAATAGTATATGTTATTTGGAGTAAAAGTGAGTTTATGTGGCTCAGCTGAATCCATTTGCCTCACTCCGTTCGGCAAAATGAACGTTCAGCTTCGCCACATAAACAATCACTTTTACTCCTAATAACATAATCTACTATTATTAGAAAAAAATTATTTAGTTTAAAGTGTGTGGACTTTTTGAATTTTTTTTAGTGCATTTGATTTGTCTCACTGAGACGAACAAAATAATATAAAATTTGTCGTGTTGTCACCACATAACTTTTTTTTTTGTTGCCCTACGTAATTCAATCGATGCTAAATCTAATTCAATTACATAAATAATTTACCGATAAAGAGTCGTTGTAAAGGCGTCTGTCATGACCGTTCATGGTAACAAAGGTGGTAATTAAAGAGTAAATAGCACGCCATCGCTCTGACGATTGTGATTCCTAAAAATTTAATATTTCGTCGAAATGACTCTCAAAATTATGAAATTCAGTAAAGTGATTGTTTTTTCAGGACGCCCACCATCAAAATGGGCTGAAGCCACTTTCTTGGAGGCAGCAGTTCCAAAATTCCAAAAATAGGTGAGTACGTCCTTCATTTAGCGGCCAACACTGATTTTGCCATAATTTAAAAATGCGTGCATGGCCGCCTCGTCTCTCCTCATTTCTCCAAATAAAATCTCATTTTTTGCTTTGACTTTAAAACAAATGTGAAAAAAATGACAGGATCGATAAATATCAATCGTAGAACGAATTTAATTCAACTGTCGTTTCACGCGTTGTAATTTTTCAGCATAGCAAATTGGAAATGGATAAAGAAAATGGTAAGGGCGCCGAAGGTAATTCAGGTTCCAGCAAAGTGTCAAATCCCAGCGATCCGACGCCTTTACTCGATGCAGCCAGTCTCTTTGGAGGTAAGTCTTGGAAATAGTGGTTTTAGTGAGGTTTGATCGCTGTTATCGCAGCTTACTGGCCACGGGGCGATGCGAATTCGGCCAACGCTGCTAATCTCTTCGGGGGCGGTTTTGGGCTGCCGCCCCATCCGTCGCTGCCTTTCGGGATGTTACCACCAACGACCGGACGCGGCGGAATGCCGTCTTATCCGACCTCCACGGCGGCGGCGGCCGCCTTCAGCAACGCCTACACCAACACCCTCTCGGTGGCGGCGAGCCAAGCCGCCAGTTTAGGAATACCGGCTGCAAGTAAGTGCATGCTTTTTCGAATTACCGTTAAATTATAATTGGATGGCTTGTTATGCGATACTGTTCTTTATTTTTACCATTAACATCCTTATTACTGACACTTGGAGAATACTTGATATTCTGTGGCGGCAAACGCCCAATCATTTTTAACAAAACAAGGTCTACATTTTCTTCTGGTGTTTTTAACAAATTGCATTCTTGCATAGTACGAAACTTGCAATTAGTTCACTAAAGTTGGTGGTTATGTTTTATGAAAAATGGCTTATTAACAACACTTTTTGTATTTGAAGTAATAAGTTCTTTTATCCACAATCATTCACTCGATAAAGAGTCTTTTTTATTCTTTAGATGCGTATCAAGTTATCAACTACCACTTTATCCACTAGTGAAATAAAGTAACTTTATTCCATTGTTAGCTTACTACGTTTAACCGAAAGCATATTTGGCGTGACGTTTAAATGTCAGTTTAATTTTTAATTAAGTTTGGAGTAATTTGGGCCTGTGATTGTGGATAAAACGTTGTATTGCAGGCGTGTGTTAGTCGCGTTTTATCCACTTAAGAAAATTAACCGTGTATAAAACGCTACCTAACACACTCTTACAATAAATAACTATTACTTAGTCTTGTTATGAATTCAAAATGAAATATAGTTCGCATTATTTTATTATTCGATAAGCATTTACTACCTTTTTATGTAACATTTTTGATATTTGAACAGTGTAGTTTAAAATCGCTCAGGTGGTTTTTAGAACCATCAAATTACTTTAAAAATTGCAATTTTAATATTTTTTTTATTAATTAGGGAAAGTAATTTTGTGTTTTATTGTAAGAAACGATAAAACCTGCATCTAGAATATTAAAAAATAATTAAAATCTTAAGAATTATAAGTAAAACTTGCATAAAACTTCTGTCAGATGTAGAGATTTTCTGAAGGGTTAAAGTTAACAACAATAACATAGCAGACTCAAGGTGGTTTAAAATGTACTGCAGCTTTGCCAATTTGAGCTGCTATCTTTAAATAATTATATTTTCCATTTAGAAAAATTATAAAAGCAAAACTCTGAGCTTGTATTAATTATTAACGTTTTCTTTCTCCATGTATGGAACCAAGCGGTTTTTTTTTAAATCATTTGCTTCTAAAAAACAATAATTAATATAAATTAAAGTAATGTAAAAATGTGATGAGAACGAAATTTTGTTTTGTTTTTGAGTTATGCGTTTTTTTTGTCAGAATTGCAATTTATGTTTTTTTTTCAAAAAATTAAATATAAAGTACCTAGATAAAGTAGATAGTTGTATTCTTTAGAACATAACTTTTATGAGAAAAATTGTTTTATAGTGGGTTGATTAATAAGAAAAGAATAATATGAATAATTATTTTTTTTTATAAAGAAACATAGAGATAGTCATAATAAATTATGTGTTTCATCATTTGTTATCGAATTAAACAAAAAATAAAGAGAATAATTTTTTAAAATTTCTTATTTTTATTAAAAAATACTAGCATTGTATAAATTCTGATCAAAATGATTTTCAAATTAAATTGGCAACATTGACAAAACATAGAGACAAAGGAAAAGAAAATGCTTCTACATTATTTAATGTTGTCAACTTAACTTTAAAACTGCCACTTTGATAAGAAGTTTATCTAATTTAACGCATGGTCTAACGCATTCACAACTCAAGGAATCAGTGTTTTCTGAGAAGTGATTTTGAAATTATATTTTTCGAATTAGCGATTTATATAATAATATATACAGGGTGATTCTTAAATAGACTGACAAAATTTTATCACAGCTTCCCTAGTATAAATGGAGACAAACTGTACTCTTTTTACGTTTATATTTTGTAGGGGCAAAACCCCCTTGATCCGTGCCACTTACGGCGTTTATGAATTGTTGCAATGATCAAGTGTACATTTTGATCAAATTAATACCATGGTTACCACTACCTGTGCTGACACATCAGTGGCGTACGCTTTACTTCGAAAATAACTTTAATAAATTTTATTTGGAGAACGGTTAAACAAAGAATTTTTTAAATATTTTATCCAGCATGTTCTCATTTGATACTACCAAGGATAAATTTTTGTCGGTCTATTTAAGAATCACCCTGTATACAAGTAGAATTTTTTTTGCTTCTTCTAACTGTTAGTTGGTAACATTAAACTATAATAAACAAAACTTTAACTAAACACATGAATTGTTTAACAAAACTTAATGATTTAATTAATTTTTTTTGTGACCAACAGCTTTGCTTGCTTAAGTAGTGTTCCGTTCCCAACGACGTTAAATTTTAAAAGCAGAAGTCTCATGTGAAATTCTTGTGTAACTGACCTAATTGACCAACCTTCTTCTAGTTTTGTGACAATGCGAGGTCTCATCACTTCTGTTGTCTGCGGAGGCATTACATTCCAAAATTTTAAAATATTTAAAAGGAAATAGTCTGAAAATTATCCCATTTACACGATGAAATTGTAAGTGTACGCTTTTCTTTTGAATAGGAGTGTACAATACATAGTGCTTGTCTCGGTTTACTGATGTGTAATTAATAAATAATAATAATAATGTAATGTATAATTTTAGTTGAAATTTTACACGTTAATTTATGGTCGTCTAATTTAGGATCGGAAGGTATTGTTTAAACTTTATTCAACAATATTACAAACTTCATAAAAATGCAGTGCCAATTGTAATTAGAAAAATAAGACAAAATAGTAATTTGTAGAAGTACCGTCCGATCAAATAAAAAATAAATTAGAGTAGGCGTCGATTAAATTCTACAGTTGGCAACACATTGGCTGGAAATTTTCCAAACAAACTAAAAGCGAAAATGACCATCCACCGTTTTCCTCTTGTACAACAATAAAAATGTTCTGCTCTAAAGTGAAATTATTTCACTCAAAAGAAATAAAACGCAAACTTGTCAAAGTTTCCGCTGACATATGATGTCAAAAATCAGGATTGCCATCTGAAGGATTTCAATCACCGCCTACTCTAATTTATTTATTTTTTGATCGCACGGTATTTTAAATAAAAGATGGCGATTTTTTAGTCATAAGTTGGTAATTGAAAATGGTGAAATATAAATTCAGTTATTTCCAGTTACTTAAATATTTGCTTAAAAAGAAAATATTGGACAGTTCACAAAAAATAGAATGACTGGGGTCAGTTGTGACGGTAAATTTTAACACAATATAATGAGAGATTTCATTGATTAAAAATAAAAGATGACCTTTTCCTATTTTAGGTTTCTCTCTACTTTAATATTTATTCTTTTGGGTCACATTTTTCTGTAAATTGTATGTGTAATAAATGACTATAACGAGCTGACCTATTGCCATTTTAGAAGCACTAACAGTGCCCATATCTAATTTAAAAATATCCAACCATTTTAAACAATTTCCGAGTCATTACTTCCTTAATTCCAGCTTTAATCGAATTAGATTTAGTATAAAGTGAACTTTAATGTGCGATAGTTGTCGGAATCGGCTAATAATCGGGGCCGTTCTAATCCCCTAAATCCGAAAAAGTCAGCGCTAAATTCGCTTCACCGCGTAAATCAACAGGTTATCATATTTTTCCTCATTTTTATCACCTGTATTGGTTAATAATTGTTAATTTGGGCCTAGAGTAGAGACAGTCTCGTTCCGTGAACGTTCCGGGTTCATCTGGGTGAAGTATTACGGCAAATGTAATTCATTTATTGATCTACTTTTCTCCCTCCAGTTGTGTCAGCCTGCACACACAAAGACTGTATAAAGAGGTCATAATTCATCCCTCGTAATTTCAAAAACGTATTGAACCCTCACCGGAAGCCCCATCGAGAGTCATGGTAAATCCATGTGTATTTTTGGCGGTGTTTTTGCTTGGCGTTGGAGCTTCCCTCCGTTCGTAACCTCACTTTTCGCGTCGCGTTATAAATAGCCCCCCAGCTACCCCGATTAAAAAATGCACGAAATCGATTGTTGCAGGCGCCGCGTGGTGGTCGATGGCGTCCCATCTGGCAGCTCAGGATTACCTGGCGCGTCTTCAAGCCACCGGTTTGAACTTCCCTCTGGGCAGCCCCGCCGATCTGCAGTACGCCTCATTAGGCCTACCGCCGCCGTCTCACCACAAGTCCAAGGGCTCGAAAAGCGTCGCGCCCTTACCCAAAGCCAAGGACACTCTTGATGGACGCTTGGACGCCAACTCGTCGATGCCGAACTCCAAACCCAAGTACCCGGGGGCCGGTCTCAGCATCCAGAGTATGAAATTGCCCAGCGATAAAAAGGCAAAAGTGAACGATTTGAACTATCTGAAACCGATGGACAAGAAGACGAGTGTCAGTTCGAGTGCGAAAGTGACGACGTCGTCGCCGAGTATTTTCACCAGCCCTTTGAGTCTGGCCAGTAATTTCGACAAAAGTGCGAACACAATTAGTACTCAAAGTTCTAGTGATAGTGGGACACCCACCTCTAGCATACTCAGGTGAGTGCGAAAAACCATGCTATCACGACCTGATTCATCGATTATTTACATTTGTCGTCACACATTTAACAAAATTTATCTTATCACGTTTGAATATTGGTTCATTTAAATATCACTATCGAATTATTGTCTCATATCTCGTTTCTGATTGTATTTTTTTCTATAATAGCGCCGCCCTTGAAGGAAACAGGTGAGAAAACGTCCACCCTTGATTCATCAAATCACCCCTTTGTAACTTCTAACTGTTGTGTTTTATTTATAGTGATCCGAATTCGATTCTTGGTGGCGTTCGTTTACCTCCCGATACCGAGATTATTAAATATACCTCATCCATTGTTGGGCCTAAGATACCAGGAACGACGAATCGAGGTCGGAAAAAAACCATTTCCTTAGACCCACCCTCGGTTAGCGTGCATCCATCGCATTCTAGCACTGGAATGTTGATTGAACGTAGCAATAAACGTCCAAAACTAACAGTAAGTTAATTGAATCGGATTTAGATAGTATCAAACATGATTTTTGATAGGATCAGCAAGATGTTGGTTCGCCACCGTCTTCAGCCAATGATAGAGTCGAAGTTATTAAATTACCGGCGACCAATGGGAGTCCTTCGGGGATTTCTGTACCTTCGTTCAACAGTAGTGAAAGCACAGGCGATACTCCATTGAATCTGTCATTGAAACCGAGCACCTCGACGAATACCACAGCCAGTTCCTCGCTGAATTCGCTCTGTAACATGTCTGCCAATATTGGAGTAGATAGAATATGTGAGTATTTGTCCTCAATTCGGTCAAAAATTAAATTCGAGACTGAAAATTGTCAAGTTGCCTGTTAAAGTGACAGTTATCAAAACTGACATTAGAACTCACTTGACTGCAATCATTTTTTTTTGCTAAGCTGTACATACAGTGCGATCAAAAAGTCTGTCTATCAAACAAGCGTAGAAATTTAAAACGTATGTCTGTGAAAGATAAAATGTCACAATGACAAATGAGAAATGTCAAAATATTTTTTATGTAAATTATGACAGGAAACCGTGGTGAACGATTTTTATGAATAAACACCAACAAAATATTATTTTAGATTGTTTTGAGACGTTTCATAGAATAATTCAATTTAATTAGCTCAATGTTTAAATTTTTATAAAATAATTTTTTGACATCTAGATAACATACGAACTGCCATGCAACATACGTCCTCAACTAGGACGCCTACTTGATAAAAAGACTTTTTGATCGCACTGTATAATCCATTTCATTGAAATTGGCATAACAGTAGGCCATGAATGTATAAACCGCGCTTTAAATGTGAAAAAGGCTTTACATATTAAGGAACTAAATTTGACACTAAAAAAAGTGAGGTTAAGATAGTTAAAATTTTATTTTTAAAGAACTCTCTTTCAGAGGTTTTCATAGAGAGTTTTTTTCTATAAAAAGTTTAACATCTTGTTTCATCCCTTTGTAGGTGTAGTTTTAATACCGAACACATACACTATTTGCTCTGGAGAAAATACAGACTTTCATTGACAATAAGTGGCTTCCAGGAATTTTAAAAGACGTTTTATTCACACTAGGCATGAAACACAATTACAAGTACAGCCAAAGGGGGTTTGGATTTTGTCATTAAAAATGTAGGACAAAATTGTGAATTTTTAAATAATGGTAAAGTTGTTTCGCATTAAACAATGTAAAGTTGTTGTGAAGTGGAAAAAGGAAGTTTATACAAAATGAAGCTTCGCGTACTGAAGCTTGAAAAATCGTGTTTTGTCGTGGATAAAGTAATTTGGCTTAATTCAAATTGGTACAGTTGTGAAGACGGAATCCTGGACAGTCTTTGCTTGTCATTTCAATAAATGTCAATGTAAATGCACGTTTACTGTCATTATGATTGATATTAAAAAAAACTGTCAAATTAATTTTGACACATCAATTTTATGTCTGTTCAAAAAATGTCAATGTAAGCCACGCTTTATTGTCATTATGACTAACATTTGAAACTAAAATTTGAAAGTTTTAGTTCAAATTTATATTTGGCGAAAATTTTCCGAAATAATAATGCCAGCAATACGTGTTTTTATATAAGTTCAATGAACTATTTTGATTTGTTGTCAATTTTCTCGTATCAGGATAAAAATTATAAAAACCGAAAGTGAGGTTAGTTGCCTAAGGCCCGTTTTACATTTTTATGACAGTCGAATGACAAATCGTCCAAAATTCCGTGTCCGCCAGTGTAGTTTAGAAACTGAATGACACATCTGTCCAATTTTCCGTGTCCCCCACTAAGGTATATTTGATTCTATTAACCTAAAATGCCTAAAACAGGATTATGTTTTCAAACATATTTTAGCGTGTACTTTAAATCTGGGGTTCTGAAGAGAACTACTTTTAATAATAATTTGAAAAAATAGTGGGTATAACGAACAAGCATCGAAAAGAGTAAAAAAACGAATACAAATGTCAGTCATGTCAGTCTAATAAACCATGTAGGTAAATAATCAAAGAAAAACAAAAACCCCATCAGCTGTTATATCAGGGACATGGACAGGGCTACAAACTTAAATACGAAATTCCATAACCACCTATTATGCCAATTTCAATGAAATCTACTATATCTCATTTTTTGCTTTGTTTGTTTACGTTTTCATTCTTTGTTTGTAAATCTTTTTTTTACATAATTACAAAGTAAATTCGGAAAACTTTTGAAATTGCTAAATCGAAATTTTAGTGGGAAAATTGGTAACAGTTTGTTTCCATAGTTACAGATTGTTTTTCTTAAATTAATGCTTATGTTTTTTTGTGAAAGTGATTAAAATATCAAAGTTCTTGATCAACGTATTGGCTTTTTGTGGATATTTGCTGTTAAAAAACTCTTCTGGTGCAAAAATATTAAATACAGATTTGTCAACAAGAAAATTACGTTTTTCATGTTGTTTATAACTAGAATTTTCAGAAGTAATTTTGAATGCCTAGGGTTGGTTACCCCTTGTTGTTGACGGTTGACGTTTTCTGTCAACCTGCTGTCAACTATCAAGACTTAACCTAAATTTTGACACTAGTTACGATATCTTTTGTTTGTCATTACAAACCAACCTAACCAAATTTATGGCAACCTATTCTCAAATATTCCTAAATCCTAAGGAGTAATTTCTTGTTTTGTGGTTGAGGGAATTTCTTCAAAGGTTTTCAAACAAGAAAATTCCTAGCTTTATTCGCAATTTTTATTATCGAGGATATGAGCTTTCGTAGCCTTACATAACAAATATATTTAAGTGACTATTTTTTTTTTGTTTAAAAATACTAAAACAAAATTGGTGAAACAACTCGATGTAGAAATTTATACAGGATGTGCAGAAAGTCGCGCACCTCTTTGAAAGGGAATTATTGGGTAGTCCCCCAAAAAAAAAATATTTTTTGACATTTGACATTTTTTATGTCTATTTAATGATACTGATTTTACAATTATTCAGTAAAGGTACAAAAATTTTGCCAATAAAAGCCACAAATAACATTGAACTGAGTTACAATTTAGGATACAGCTTCCTTGTTTTTCTTTTCAATAGCTTGTAGCAAAAAAACTTGTAAAATTATTTTTCCAACGGAAATAAATAGAGTCAAAGTGCAAAATTTAAACTGTCATAACTTCGAAATTTTTATAGATTTTTTCCATGTTCCTGGTATCTTACCTTACATGACGTTTTTTCTCTTTATAAGGAAAGTGTACGTAAAAAGTTAAAAAAGTGCATGCTACTTACTAATCTGAGACTTATTTTAATCAAATAATTCTTATTCTTGTTTTCTCAGTTTATTTCTTTCAAATAATTATGAAAATTTGGTGTTAGTGTGTTTGAATAATTTTTGTGGTTTGATTAGCTCGTCGCAAGCCGGGTCCGAAGCCCCGACGTGTAGTTCCCTCCGGTGGGCAGATGCCTCCGGGTGCCCCTAGCGCTTCCTTGGCGCAACTTTTCGCCACCGCCGATTCTCCGAGACCACCTAGTCGTAATGAAGGCTCGGACGGCGGCAGTTCGACATCGTCTACTTGTACCACTACCGCTCCCACCACCGCCTGCACCACAGTTCCTTCCATAAGCAATCACAAAGAAGGCCGGCCGAGAAATCTCGGTCGGGGCGTCAGTAAACCAAAAAAGAATACTGTAGCATCACTTTTAGCACAAAGTAGGGCATTAGGTTAGTACACCCTTGTGGTGTTTGGGTTCGTAGATGATTTAGGTGGCTTTTTAGGTATCAAACCTATGCCTATTTTGGATCCGAATGCTTCAATGAATCAACAGATGAATCTATTGAAGTCGAATATATTGGCTGCACAGCAGTATATTTCTGAAGCAGGTGGTGACGAAAAAGCTTTAAATAAATTTTTGCAGGAAAAATTCAGGGGTACTTTAAGTGATTCTAGTACTGTTGATGCCTCAACTGATTCTGATAACCTTACTGATTCTAATCACACAGATTCAGAAATGGAGATCGAAGTCGCCACGAAGAAACAAAAACAGTACGACGAACGAGCCTTAAGAGTGCCCCTGGAGAAAGGTAAAATCACTAGAAACGATTCTAGAAATTGTATTTTACAACATATTTTTAAATATAGGGTGGAAGCGGGAGACGGTCATCCGAGGACTGACGAAGAGCGGCGGCATCAAGGGCGACGTCACCTACGTTGCACCTGATTCTGCAAATAAATTCAAACAAATGTCAGATGTCACGCAGGTAAATAAATCATCAAGTAGAGTTAATTTCCGATTTGCTTATGTGCATTTTCTAGTATTTGGAGTATCAGAAGAGCACAGAGTTCACCAAGGAAAACTTCACCTTCAGTTGTCGGGTCATCTTGGGAGACTACCTCCAGCCGGTCCCACCGGAAATGGCAGCGGAAGCAGGAGAATACATCCATCTCACTGAAGAGGACGTCAACAGAAGGTAATTTGCCTCATGTTTGTTGCATAAATAATTAAACAGATAACTCAGATGCAGTGAAGTCATAAATGAAAATAGACTAAACAGTTAGCTTTGTTCTGTTTGTGAAATTATACGCTACTAACTAGAATTGCTGCTTAAAATTCAATGTAAATTAAAAAACTCTCAAATACACATTGTAGTTGGATAATTAAATTTACAAGTTATGTTTTATGGCTGCAGCATGTTGTAAGATATTTAGGTGATGAAGCGAGCGCTGCAAACGTGTGGCCAAACCGGCGTAATACCGTGCGATCAAAAAAAATAAAAAATTAGATACGGTGGTTAAAGTCCTTCAGATGGCAATCCTGATTTTTGACATCAAATGTCAGCGGAAACTTTGACAAGTTTGAGTGAAATAATGTTCACTTTAGAGCAGAAATTTTTTATTGCTGTACAAGAGGAAAACGGTGGATGATAAAGCTTTGCTTGAACTTATTTTTTTTACATGTGTTTCTGTTGCGAAACGTAAAACAAATACATATTGAATTTTACTGAAAACAGTTATTATATTAAATAATTAGTAAATTAGTAGGTATATTAAATAATTAATAAATTAATACTTAATTAAAAATAAATAAGGTAATTTTATGAAGGATTATCGAGGACAAAGATTTTTCAAGAGCATAAATACCTTCATATTTCGTAGGAGCATAATATTCTAAGGGCCAGTTGCATAATCGAATTTAAAGGAGCATTAAATTAAATGTTGTTTAGAATGTGCTAATTACTACGGACTCCTTGAGCAAATTTCACATTCTAAAGCAACATTAACTTTAAAGTCTCTTTAGTTCGATCATGAAACTGAAACTAAGTAAAAAAAAAATTTTATTTTATAATTATTGAAATCACCTTAAATATCACCATTCGGAATTAAGTGTAAAGACCACAGACTAGAAGGTAAATAAATAAATAGAAGGTAATAATAATTAATCTTTATTCTTATTTCACATTTTTTCAATTATTCAGTTCACCTATACCTATTTGATTCCTCTACTAAAATAAACAAGCAAATTATTATTACTTATTTTGTACTCAATGTTAAAGAGTGCTTTTTTCAACTAATTTCAGTAGATAAAGTAGTCTTTTATCGTCTAGTGAAATAAAGTAATTTTTATCTACCGTTTATATTCAAGAAATTCTGGTAGGTGAGTACAAAATAAAACGAAATATACACGTCGATAAGGATTGTTTATCTATTTGTGAAAAAGTCCATTCATGACTTCGTCACTCGTAGATAAACAATTTCTTTATCGTCTTATACAGGGTGAGCCAGAACTCGCGCCCCAGAGAAAAATGCCATATAAGGTAAGATACCAGGAACATGAAAAAAATGTTACCCTGTATACTCCTATAACTTGAAAATTCTTTTAAACTCCTATAAATTCGAACTTTTGGCTTACTTTCAAATTTAATTTCAATTTATTGTAATTTTTGAAATTTTTAACTTGGAATAAGTTAAAAAATGTTAACAAAATTTATAATTCCCACTATAAAACCATGCCATTAGCCAAAATTTGGACTTTAGAATTTGTTTAACAAATCCAACTTTTTAAAATTTTGTATTTAATATGTTTCAATTAGAAATATTGTACATTTCTATTCTCTCAGACTCAGACTTTCAAAGAGGAAATTGAGACTAGACTTAATTTTACAATGTTTTGGATCGATTCCAATAAATTATGTAAAATTAACGATATTTTTGTGTTAATTTAAGAAAAATCTATCGATACAACCTGAAAGGAACGAATTTTTATAATTCAACAGTAATATCCCGAGTGCATGGTAAATTGTCAATAATTTTAGAATAAAATTTGAATCAATTTGGCATTTTTTCATGTTCCTGGTATCTTATGTTACTTGAATTTTTTCTCTGGGGCGCGAGTTTTGGCACACCCTGTATAATAAATAACTATTATTGATAATTATTAAAAACAGCAATCGGACAAATCTAAATTTAGAGTTGCTTTTTCAATTATTTTTTTTTTCTACTTCGTTTAACTTGTGGTTCAAATTTCCTGGACAATCTGTTAGTATTGTTAGTTAGTAGTATAGTTAGTACTGCTTCTTCTTCTAATTTTGGCTTTTTGAGATAAAATTTGATAAAATCTGGATATGTTGTTTCAATCTAAAAAAAATATGTTTTATGGTGTCTACAATTTTAATTAATTTTCTTTAGATTTACCGCATAACAGCCAGTTTTTATTTCACGAATTATACAGGGCTTTCATTTCAAAAGGATCCAGTCTCAATAACTTTTGACATTGAGTAAATGGATTTTCAAGCAAAAACAGGTCGATTAGGATCTCGAGGGGGAAGTTGAAAACCAACACTAGTTACATTTTAAGTTTCATCGCTAGCCACCCCTACTTTAGAATTTTAAATGGCACCCCCTACTTTTTGAAACATTTTCAGAAAGGGAATAAATGAGCGTATCTAACTGCCAAAGAAAAAAAATTTTTGTCGATTCGTTTTTTAGTTAAGGGTGGTTTAATTTTTGAAATTTTGAGTCCTAGTAGCCTTTGATTCAACGCAATTTAATTTGAATAAAAGTAATTTTTTAATTAACTGAACTATCAAATGGTAAATTTTCGCTGAATTGTTGACACCACCGCCTTCTTAATAAAATGTATTAGGTGACACCAAGATACATTGAAGCTATGGTACATTAACTTATACCTATAAAAACGCGGTCAAAATCAGGAGTAAGTAAAGTGTTAAAATTAATTCGGGCAGATGGCGCCACGGTAGGCGAAGGACTGTCAGTTACGTTGACAATCCTGTCAACATTTTAAACAAAGTGAAATAAATAAAAAAGGTTCCATTTGTAAGAAAATAAGTTGAAAAATGTTTATTTATTGAATCCATTTGGGGTATCAAGTAACTTCGTAGGTCCAGGTACTCATGAATTTTTCCCAGATTTGGGAAATCTATGTTTATGGAAGAATATTTTTGGGAATAGAAATGCTAAATTTTGCAGTGAAAATGACTCACGTAATGGTTGCTTTGGATTGGGAATTATTTCGTAAAACAGAACAGCTTAAAAGGAAGGTGGAAACTGCATTTAGTGCCAAGATTAGTCTCACAATAAGGGGTTGTGAAGACAGTCCAGATCAACACTCAATAAATTTATTATCAAAATAAAACATGAAAACATGCATATAAAATCCTTTTTTGTATAGAAATTCCACTGGCATTACTCGATCCCTAAAGTCGGTTTTCGTCCTATCCTCACAGTTCTACAATAAACATGTAGTAATAGTATTTTGCGCCGGTCTAGGGGGCGGTAGAGGTTAGAGGACCTTATAGAAAGCAATCACATCTGATGTTCAACTAAAAAGACCAAAACATTATAAAATTACCGTACCGTGTTAACATTACCTCTCCGTCATTTGATATCTAGTTTTCTTCTACCATATTTAATATAAGTAATTCAAAGTAATTTAAGAGTTTTCAAATTTGAATTGTTCTATGATTTGGACAAAGATAAGGAGAATTACATACTTTATTCTTTCGGTATCCGTAGACAAAGAGTACTTCAATTTTGAATTTGGAACCTGTCAAAGAAAAACTTCAAACTGACAGTCCCTCGCCTACAGTAGCGTCATCTATTATATTTTAAAAGAATTTCCCAATTTACGCCCAAATTTGATTACAAAATGGCGGCGAGTTATTACACCATATCTTATAGACATCTTGGGTGACACATAATCTAAATCAAAGTTAAAAGCTACTAGGACTGATAGAAATTTTTAAAATAAAACTACCCCTAACTCAAAAACGAATCGACTAAATATTTTTTTTCATTTACAATTAGATAAGCTTTTTTCCACTCCTTCCAAAAATGTTTCAAAAAGTTGGAGTGTCTCTTTAAAATTTTAAAGTAAGGGTGGTTAGTGACTAGGGGATGAAACTTAAAACGTATTTAATGTTGGTTTTGAATTATCCCATCGCAATCCAAATCGACATATTTTTTATTTAAATGAAATTGAGTTCAATCAAAGCTACTAGGACTGAAAATTTCAAAAATAAAACCACCCCTAACTGAAAAACGAATTACAAAAAAAAATTTTCTTTGACAGTTAGATACGCTCTGTATTCCCTTTCTGAAAATGTTTCAAAAAGTAGGGGGTGCCATTTAAAATTTCAAAGTAGGGGTGGCTAGCGACTAGGGGATGAAAGTTAAAATGTAACTAATGTTGGTTTTCAACTTCCCCCTCGAGATCCTAATCGACTTGTTTTTGCTTGAAAATATATTTACTCAATGTCAAAAGTTATTGAGACTGGATCCTTTTGAAATGAAAGCCCTGTATGTTTTGCTTTAGAATGTTTTTTTACACACATGATCCTTTACAGTGAAGATACAGTCTTTTTGGAATTATACGATTAGGCAACATTTTCATTATTTTCATTATTTTTAGCACTTTTAAAATTGGGCACACAACATTTTCTTCCCATTTCAAAATATATAAACAATATAAAATTGCTGAAGTTTTTAGATGAACGTCTTCAGAGGCTGCTTGTAATTGTAATTTTTGTTTTTCTTTTCGTTTCTGTGCACCAAATTTATACTTATGTTTAGATTTTTCTATTATTTATGCCCACTAATAATTAAAAAAAATAAATTAATATTAAATTAAAAACGATATTTTATATCGGTTGATTAAAAAATGTGTGGCATAATTTTAATTACGAATACCCCTCTGCAATTGAGAATAGATAGTACAGTAATTTATTGACCCACCTTAAAAAATAGAAAAATTACAACTTTCCAAAAATCGGTATAAAAAAATGATTTTTTGGAAATAATTTTGTTACCGTTTATCCGATTATTATTAAATTCTGCATGTTAAAGGACAAAAAGACAATCTCGCAATGGGTCTTCCCAGTTTTGGGATCATATCTTTTTTTCGGCTTATTAATTTCTGTTTTTGATATAGCCCAATAATTTTTTTTATAAAAAAGGTAGTTTCATATCGCCAAAATGTACCTTTCTTGAGTTATTTGAGTTTAAACATTTGTTTGTTTCTTGATGATTATAAAAGCTGTAATTTTTCTGTTGCTTGATGAGTTAGATTAATAAATACTGTGCTATCTATGCTCATTTGTAGAGGAGTATTCGTGATTAAAATTATGACACAAATTTTTGAATCACTTGTATAAATCCACGCGGAATTTTTCTTACATGCGTGTAAGACCTTATAAACAAAATTGGGCTAAAATCATTGAAATTATAGAAATTATAGTTTTATTTGTTATGATGGCATTTTTTAATTCCTTCAAACTAAACAAACTTTTGCGAAAATCGCAGTTCAGCACTTCATGGATTAGCTCTATGCGTTGTAGAAAGTTTATTTCCAAATTTAAAATTATTGATATTATTTCAATGAGCTTTTGACATAATAAGCCTACCATAATTGGAGGCCCGTAAGACTCGAGGGCCCGGGGTGCTGTGGCACCCCTAGCCAGTCCGCCCCTGCGTATGGCCCGCATACAGTGCCGACCAAAAGTAAAGAAACAATTGATTTTTTTATTTATTTTTCATATAAATATGAGAACGAAAACGATTTATGTTCACTAGACTTACTTCTACTTAAGATCATTTTTTATAAGCTTTTTGGTCAAGTTGGATGTTTCTATATACAGTGAACTTTTTACTATTTTGCTAAGGACAAAAGTAAAGAAACATTTTCATTTTACCTATTGTAAAGTTAATTACAACGTCGGTGCAAAACAGTTCCTACAAAAATTGTTCTTTAAAGAGTTGTAATTATGCCTAAAGGTAAACAACTGTCTCAAGACTTGAGAAAACTAATTATATAATCCATTTCATTGAAATTGGCATAACAGTAGGCCACGATTGTGTAAACCGCGCTTTAAATGTGAAAAAGGCTTTACATATTAAGGAACTAAATTTGTCACTATAAAAAGTGAGGTTAAGATAGTTAAAATTTTATTTTTAAAGAACCCTTTTTCAGAAGTTTTCAGAGAGAGTTTTTTCGATAAAAAGTTTAACATTCTGTTTCATCCCTTTGTAGGTGTAGTTTTAACACTAAAAACATACACTATTTGCTTTGTAGAAAATACAGACTTCGTTGATAATAAGTGGCTTCCAGAAATTTTAAAAGACGTTTTATTCACACCGGAGATGAAACACAATTTGTTTTCCGTGTAAGTTGCATCTGAAAGGGGTTTGGATTTTGTCATTAAAAATGTAGGACAAAATTTTGAATTTTTAAACAATGGTAAAGTTGTTGCGATCGGAGGGGAAAAAAGAAATCTGTACAAAATGGAGCTTCGCGTACTGCAGCCTGAAAAATCGTGTTTTGCCCAGGATAAAGTAATTTGGCTTAATTCAAATTGGTATAGTTGATTCCATTAACCTAAAATTCCTAAAACAGGAATAACAAAAAGAAGTTCATTATGTTTTCAAACATACCTTAGCGAGTACTTTAAATCTGAAGAGAACTAGTTTTAATTAAAATTTGAAAAAGTAGTGGGAATAACGAACAAACAACGAAAACACTGAAAAAACGAATACAAATGTCAGTCATGTCAGTTCAATAAACTATGTAGGTAAGTGATCAAAGAAAAACAAAAACCCCATCAGCTGTTATAACAGGAACATGTGCAAGGCTACAAACTTAAATACGAAATTCCATAGCCACCTATTATGCCAATTTAAATGAAATCTACTTTAGACAAATTTGAGGCGGGTGACAAACAAATTGACATTGCCAGGCAATTGAACTTAAATCGCTGTATTGTATCGAAAACAATTGCGTTATTTGAAAAAAGAAAAACTTTAGTAAGTGCTCCAAAAAGTGGAAGACCGCGTAAAACGGATAAAGTGACTGATAAACAAATTAAAAGACTTTCTCAAAATAATCCATTTTTATCTGCTGTAAAAATAAGAGAACAAATTCCAAATGTGGGTCCAAATGAGGTCCATTCGACGAAGACTGAATGAATTTGGACTCTACGGGCGAAAACCAGCAAAGACACCGTTTATTTCTGCCAAAAATAGACAGCGCAGATTGGAATTTGCTAGAGAGCATTTAAATTGGTCACCTACTCAATGGAAAAATGTGTTATTTTCCGATGAATGAAGAAAGTTTAATCTGCATAGCTCAGACGGAATTCAGTGGGTAAGACGACCAAAACAGGAAAGATTTAATCCTAAATACACAAAAGGGACTTTGAAACATGGTGGTGCTATGTTTTGGGGTTGTTTTTTCCGGACACAGAGTAGGACCACTCCACGTTATTGATGGAATAATGGACAGATTTCTTTATCTCCGTATTTTAAGAGAAGAAATGCTTCCTTTTGATGAAGATAATATGCCGCTGAGATGGACTTTTCAACACGATAATGACCCCAAACATACAGCCAAAGTTGCAAAAGATTGGATTTTAAAGGAACAAATACCTGTAATGCAATGGCCTGCTCAGAGTCCCGATCTCAATCCTATTGAGAATCTTTGGGACCATATTGATCGTCAATTAAGAGAAGAAAACAGTCGAGGTTTCAATTCAAAACAAGAATTAATCGAAGCCGTAAAAATAACGTGGAAAGACCTAAGCTTAGAATATATTAATAAGTTAACCGATTCCATGCCGAAAAGATGCGCTGAGGTAATTAAACATAAAGGATTTGCAACCCATTATTAAACTGTAACATTTATATGTAATTATAAATTTAKTGTTTCTTCACTTTTGTCCCTTGAAAAAATAAAATAAATTTTTCATTCAACAACAACTGTTTAATTCTTACTAAATTCTGTAAAATATATTTAAGAATAACCCAACAAATTACTTGTAATAAATTATATAAAAATCAAATACACCTACAATGAAATATTTAATATTCGCAAATGTTTCTTTACTTTTGGCCGATAGTTATGTCATTCTTGTCAAAAAATCGCGTGACCAATTCGGCCACACTTCAGCCAATGCAGTGCATGTGCTCGCTACATCACCTAAATATCTTACACCATGGGCTGTAGTCAATAATGCAAACTATTGCAAACTATTTTAATTTTTATAGACTAGAAGAACTGAAGTCAGCCATGAGGACAAGTCTTCCCGTGGAGCAGCGAATAGAAATGGCTCGAAAGCAGCAAGCAGCTCGTGCAGCAGCGAGGATGGACCGCGAGCAAGCACGTCTAGCGAAAGAAATTGAAAGGTCAGAACGTCAAGAAGCAGCTCGTAGAGACCGCGAAGCCCGATCTCAACAACTCTTGGAGGTACGATAATGTTTTCGAATTAAAAACTTTTCACAAAGTCAATGTGTGAAGGTAACAGGCTACTGTCATTGTTAACTTGTTTAATTTGAAATAGTTGTGTTGTTTTTTTTTGTTGATTTTTATTGTGAAGGTATAGTATTTTTTTGTCAAAAAGGGTCGAAAACGGCTAGCGTTCACGCTCGAACAGAAAATACAGATAATATCGGAAATCGAAGGTGGAAAAACGAAATCGGACGTGTCTCGAGAGCTCGGTTTGGCTAGTTCGACTGTAGCGACGATATGGAAGAATCGTGATAATATAATAAACGCCTATAGCTCTGAAAATTTGGGACGCAGTCACAGTCCCAATAATAACGATTTGTTCATTCCTGATATTGCGATGGTATGTCTGTAAAATTACAAACGGAAAACGAACGAATGTTTAGGTGTCAGGTGTTACCAACGACTAACAAGTGCTTGGCACAACTACGACAGATTTTTGTAGACATTTGATTACATTTGACATCTCAGTTTTAGTCCTAACAATCGCTATAACCATTATTTTTATCTATCAGTACACCCGGGGAAAAAACTATTCACCAGTTTAACTTTCTGCTCTCACTAGTGCGCTTTGTTGCAATAGTGTTTCCGACTAACTAGTTGGGGAGCAGGTAATATGTCGAAAGGCCCTTATTTAGGGACTCGGGGACACATGTTTCTTCAAAATGGTCTTTTTCTGAAAATTTCTTCAATGAGTATAGATTATAATAATATGCAAAATGACACTAAGCAAATTTTAGAGAAAAAAATCCATGCCCATGTATTTCATTACCTTAACAAAATTTTTGTGATTTACTTTTCATTTTATTAACAAATAGCTAGTTTCTTCCGTTTTTTATATTTATTTTTATTACTTCTAAACAAAGCAAAATCCTAAAGTGGTAAATTTAATGTCATAATAATAATAATAACTAATATTATACAGTATGTCCCCGGATTTTTTTATTTTCCGCTAACACTGCAAAAAAAAAACATTTTTTGCTTCACCTGAAACCAGTAAGTCTGTAATTTTAAAAGTTCATTATTATCACTCAGTGGAAAGAAAATTTAATTTTTCTCTTGATTTTGAGCTTGTAATAACTAATAACACTATAGTCTACAAACAATACAACCTTTAATCGAATTATTATTTTTATGTTAACTTACCTTTAATTAAACAAAAATAATTGTTAAATTTTTCTGTCATGTCACACTTTTTTGGTTATAGACGATAATTTTCCTACTTTCTGCACAAATGCCTCCGATTTAAAATTTACTTGAATTCAAATTGTTGCTGAATTATTGCAAAATTATTACTGTATGGGTCTAAATAGGTCTTAAAAACATTTCACTCGCATTTGGACTTCTTTTCTAAAATTTTAGGGAGTATAAGTGACAAACAAGACGAGCGTTTTCATCAAGATCTGAAGGGTTTTCAAAGACTGACACGAAGGTTTTTGGGATGAAAATATGTTAGTGGATTACTGTTGGATTGTATAAAGAAAACTGATCCAAAAGTATAATAAAACCAAGTAAAATAATTCACTTTTAATATGTTTTTTGGCGGTTTTTGTATTTTTGTTAATTACATATTTCTTAAACGTAACGTGGTGGACTTTTTTAGATAGTTTTTTTTTTAACTCAGTGCCTCAAAATCTATAAGAAATTAACTTTCAGCTAAGGTATAAGAATAGTGTAAACTAGTGTAATTTTTTCTCTGCGTTTTAAATCACATCACATTGGCGTTTTATTTTTTTGACACCGATGTCGCTTTGACAGATGAGTTAACGCAAGTTAAATAATAAAATTGTTTGAAAAAAAATATAATTTTAATAAATGGCAAGTCAAAAAAACAGCTTCTAAAAAAACAGTTATTTTTAACAAAAACAATCATTATTCAATTAATTAATTGTCAAAGTGACATCGTGGTCAAAAAAAAATTGCCAATGTGGGACTTGAAAAGCAAAGAAAGATTATTATTACAAGTCTAAATGTAAAAAAAAATAACTTTTCTTTCCACTAAGTCAGAATAATGAAATTTTAATTAAAGATTTGCTCGTTTCAGATAAAGCAAAAACAAGACTTGCTGTTAAAGTGTTACTTTATCTACTCAAAAGAGTTTTTAAAGAAATAGTTCTGCTATAGAAAAAAAAAAAGTATTTCCTTTGCTTTTTTGGCGTAAAATCAAAGGTAAAAATTTGTTTCCTTGTGACTGGCTATTATAAAATGTATTATTAAGTTCAGAATTTTGATTATAAAGAAATAACTTGATAGAAATTGGCAAAATTTACAGTTTATTAAAAAATTCTGGCATTTAAAACTAGTCCTAAAATCTTGATTTTTGAAAGCTGTAGATAAAGAACCTTAAAAGTCAAGACAAACTAAAAATGTTTTTTTTTTGTAGTTTTGGCGTAAAATCAAAGGTACATTTTTTTTTCCTCTTGTAAACTTATTTCGGGGACAGACTGTATACTTGTAAAATACATTTCTGAAATAAATTTATGTATTTGTAATTTGATAATTTGAGCAAGCTTGATTATTATAATCACAATTTAATGTCTACGTTATAATCTATGCTCATTGAAGTAATTTACACAAAAAGACATTTTTCGGGTCCTAAATAAAGGTTTTTTATATATTACCTGCTCTCTAACTAGTTAGTATGAAACGCTATTGCGACAAAGCACAGCTCGAGTACAAAATTAGACTGGTGAATATTTTTTTCCCCGGGTGTACATTTTTGAAGCTTTACGTCGATATCATCATTGCATTTACCATTTCCAATCTCCCCCAAAGACTATGCCTTCACCAGATTTTTTACGTCATATGCATGGTAATCAACATAATGCTTAGGCGCATGATTATTTAACTGATTTGATTTTTTTTTAATCATCAAAAACATTTCAATTTGTTTCTTTCTGTTATGATATGTTGTCACGTGTTGCATGACAGGCTAAAAGAAAACGCCAAGAGGAACTCGAGAAACACAGACACGAGGAACAACAACGAAAACAACAGGTAATTCATTTACTTCCCTTTTTTAATCACCTCATTTATGACATTGCTTATTTATTCATTTTGTTTAATTACAGGAGAGAGAATTCAAAAGACAACAAGCCGCCATATTAAAAGAACAGGTAATAATCACACATAACAAACGCTTTCGTTGCTTTGATCTTTATTTATTATGTTACCTTTTTTGTGTTGTTTCACGTAATAATCATTTCATTTGTGTTTTATAATCGAAATAAGGATTTAAATTTCGTATTAATTTTGTGTGTGTGCATTTACATATTGTCAAATTTGTCGCTTGTGTATATACTGTGATGCTGTTTTTCTCCCTAGATGTACATACAGGAGATCAGTAAACAGCGAGAAATGCTCTACACTGTTGAGTTGGTATGGACATGTATCTAATATGAATGTATAATCTGTCTCATTCATCATTCACTTTTTATTTTGTTATTTTCCAACTCGCTAGCTTACTACAACTTGCTTTACGCAATTTTTCTCAGATACTAATTTGGTTTTAATGTGTTTAGCGGCTCGCTGTGTTATAACTAACATCAAGTGCGAAAAATTAAGCTTATTTTAATTTTTTGCGTTGAAAAGTTGCATTTTATAATGTCTAGTGCAATTTTTAAAACTGTTGGTGAAGGGATTTCTATTTCTATAAAATTATACTGACGAATTTAAAAAAATACAAAACTGCTAATTGCTTCACTAATTTTATTTTTAATATTAATTGAGAGTAAGAGTTCATAAGTAAAACAGCATGCGTTTTGTGACTTTTGTCACGTTTTTGAAAGTTATTTTCTTTCACCAGGAGCGCGAAAGGCGTCGCCAACACATGGCTCTAGTGAAAGCTTTGGAAAATCGTCGAAAACTCGAGGAACGCGAACGCAAAAAGCAGCAACTTTTGGCGGAAAAACAAGCGAACAAAGAGAAGAAAATGGAACAACGAAAAATGGAAATGGAAATTCTCTCTGAACTGCGAAAACCGTGCGAAGATTTGGAACTCGATCAGAAACCGTTACCGGAATACGAGCGAATTCCAGGTTTGAAATTGCCTGGAAAAGCTTTTGCCGATATCCTGATGGTGTTTGAATTTTTGCACAATTTTGGCGAAACGTTGGGATTCGATATGGAGTCACTTCCGACTTTAGATTCGCTCCAGCAAGCTTTAATGCCTAATGAGCACTCTTCCGAAGCCGAAGAAGAGCTTTTTTCTGTGATGACACATTTGCTAGTCTGCGCTATTGAAGATCCCGGAATTCCAAATCCAGCACGTCATACGACAATACTGGGACAAAGTCTGAGACAGGCCGACATAACTCATGCGAATTTATCGGAAATTTTACGAATTTATCTCTACGCTAATGCGACAGGCGAAGTTAAAGCTTTAACGGGGGTGCATTTTGAAAGGGATCGAGAGAAACGAGTGGCCGATCATCATCAGAACGACAACGAAATGCAACAAACTTCTCTTGGAAAAAACTCGCAATATTACGAATTATTGCATGAGAACGACACGTGGAAAATGTCCGATATGTTGAAAGATAAGCCGTTTATGGCGCTTTCACCGACATGTAAAGCCGAGATTTTAGCATTTTTGTGTAACGAATTGTTGCAAAATAAAGCCGTGATTAGACAGATAGAGAGTTCGTTGGAGAGTGTGGCACAACAGAAGAAGGAAAAGTGGCTCCTTGATACGAAAATCCGAAAGTTGAGGATGTTACACGGGAGAAAAGTGAGGTCGGAAGCAGTTGAAAAGGCCCAAAATAAAGTTGATGGAGAGGCTGAAGGGGCGGTAGACTCGCCTTCTTTGCACAAGGATGACTTATTAGATGATGAGGAAAACGATATGAGTGAGAATGAAAGTGTGGGGACGCAACCCGAAGAGGTAATTACACAAGGCGACAAAAAAAAGTCATGTCGTGATAACTTGACAAATTTTATATCATTTTGTTCGTCTCAGTGAGACAAATCAAATGCACTAAAAAAAATTCAAAAAGTCCATACAACTAAATGAACTAAATATTTTTTTATAATTTAAATAAATTTGAAATACTCAATAACTATTAGGCCAATTTCGTTCAAATAAAGACCATTCTAAAGGAATGACCTTGCCCTTAAGAATGATATGAAATTTGAAATTAAATATTGGCAAACTTTTCTTCGAACAGTGTTCGAAGAAGTTCGAAGTAAATCGAAGTAGTCTAAGAAAAACCCTAAGAGGATTTTTTTCTACGTCACCATCGTGTAGAGCATCTTTTTATTAGTGAGAATCCAAATTTTTAAAATAATATACCGAGTAGTTTTTAAGATATGCTTTTTTGAAGCTATTCAGGTATTGCGCCATATGGGAGAAATGCATGTTAATCTTACCTAAAATTGCATTTTTATAAAAGTATTTGTTTTAGGATTCTCCTTATGCTTAAAAATGGTCAATTGCATCTTCTTTGTTCTAATTATAATAAACAAAAACTGTTTCTTTACTTAAAACAAACAAAGAGTACCTGCGTACTAATTAAAGCAAATAAAGAGTTTTTTGTTCTAAAAATGATCACTGATCATTGAGCAAAAAGGATCTAGAAGTTTAAAGCAGAAGCTTTAAATATAAGAACAAATCTTTTTCAAATTAAATCACTTTTCATCCAGATTTCAACTTGCTCACTTTGTTCTAGCTTTCTGAACTTTTTTTTTGAAAATGTTCTCAGTAAATGCTTTCTCATCACTTTCTACTGATGTTGAATGCAATAAGTCAGTTGCTTCGTGTGCAACTGTTATCACAACAACTACTACCTACAAGCAAACTGAAGCTAATCGTAGAATGTACCAACAAAATAAATCAGGTGACTTCTTGCATTTAACATCACTCGAAAATGTTGAAAAAGCATTTGCTCAAAACATTTTCAAAAAAATTTCAGAAACCTAGAACAAAGTGAACAAGTCGAAATCTGAATGGAAAGTGATTTGATTTGCAAAAGATTTGCTCTTATATTTAAGACTCTTGCCTTAAACTTCTAGATCCTCTTTGCTCAATGATCAGTGGTCATTTTTACAACAAAAAAACTATATTTGCTTTAATTAGTACGCAGGTACAATTTATTTGTTTTAAGTAAACAAACAATTTCAAAAAATCATATCTTGAAAACTACTCTGTATATTTTTTTGAAAATTTGGATTATAACTAATAAAGAGATGCTCTACACGATGGTAATGATGAAAAAAAATTACTCGTAGGGTTTTTCTTAGATTATTTCGATTTAGTTCGAACTTCTTCGAACACTGTTCGAAGAAAAGTTTGCTAATATTCAATTTCAAATTTTATATCATTCTAAAGGGCAAGACCATCCCTTTAGAATGGTGTTTATTTGAAGGAAATCGGCCTAATAGTTATTGAGTAATGATTTTGTAAAGTTAAAGTATTTTAAATTCATTTAAATTAGAAAAAAAATATTTTGTTCAAAGTGTGTGGACTTTTAAAAAAAAAAATTTAGTGCATTTGATTTGTTTCACTGAGACGAACAAAATGATATAAAATTTGTCAAGTTGTCACGACATGACTTTTTTTTGTCGCCTGTGTTATTAATTTTTTGTACTAGTCAATACGAAAACCAATTTTATCTTTTTTAGGAGGAGGATAACAAACTATCAGGTGAAGAATTGGGTAAGAAGCTTGAAAAATTGGTAAAACAGTCGGAGGCCCAATTGCAATCTCTAAATTCGTCCACACATCAGCTTCGGGCCTCTTGTTTTGGACAAGATCGCTACTGGAGACGCTACTGGTGTCTGTCTAAAGCTGGTGGTGTTTTCGTAGAAGCCATGGAATCTGCAGAACCCGAGGTTTTGCTCGAACAAACTCAATTCGACCAATCAACTGAGACGATAAACAGTTTAAATGATATTAATAAGTTAATGAACAACGTTGAAAACATAAACGACTCTAATGTCGATAAAGAAGTGAGCAATATTGTCGGCAACAACGAAAGTACCGAAGAGGTCGAGAAAAATCTAGTAAAAACAACCGATGATAATGATAACGAACACAGAAAGACCCCAAACCGATTAGGAGTGTTCGAAAATGGTGAAATTTTAGATAAAAGCGAACGAAATTTAGCGGAATTGAGAAAAAGTGTAGACGACATAGTACAAAACCTTGAACGAAATATAGAAATAGAAAAGGAGAATAAATTAAAGCAAGAATCTCTGAACAAAGTCAACAATCACGTTGAAGAAATTAAAACAGAGCCGGTCGAGTCTGATTCTTTCGCTAATAAAAAATTCAACCTTTTCGAAAAACTCGGTCAATGTATGGAACGTGAGAACAAAACCGAAGAAGACTTAAAAGCCGATGTGAAAGCCGAAGTTAAGGAAGAATTAAAAAATGAGATTCTCAACGAATTAAAATGTGATATAAAAGTCGAGTCCAAGACCGAGGACGAGAAACCATCCGAAAGTGAGCATAAATGGTTCAGTATTTTAAATAAAGAGGGCTCTTGCGAGGGTATTTATTTAACAGCTGGAAATCGATGGGATAATGGTGTTGGTGCTTGTACCAGAGATAACCTCACCGAACTTAAAATTCCTGTTTTTCCACCACCAGGAGCCAACTCCTCCAATTATCACAGTTTGTGTGACAGTCCGGCTCCTCTGCAGATGACAGCCGAGGAGAGTGCTCAATTGGAGCACATTAAGAAACATGGAATGCCCAAATCGTGTGCCAGGAAATCAGTTCCTGTCGATAAAAGATACGGTTGGTGGAGGATTACAGATCCGGATCAGTTGAAAGAGGTTTTGGATAATTTGCATGTGAGAGGGGCAAGAGAACGAGAATTGAAACGAAACTTTATAAGTATCATGCAGACGATGTACGAGAGACAGGGAAAATTTTATATCGAAGAAGGGCAAAAGGATTTGACAGAGTTGGCAATGGAAGGGATTGAAAACGTCAAATTTACGGATGGTGGGGCTCCATATCCCGATGAACCGGGGTCGTGGAGCCAATCGATAGCTCATCGCGTTGATTTATTCCTTTTAGAGCAGGTATTTATTTATTATTTTTTAATAATTGTTGCCAACTATAAAAAATTTAGGTTGAAGCGCTTGAAGACAAAGTGGCCAGTGCGAGTATGCAAATCAAGGGTTGGAAAATCCCAAATAGGGACACTCCCGAGATTCCTCCCAACGAAGTGGTGCCTCTCGTGAGGGAGCGTTTATCATCGTTGGAGGTTAACATCGAACGTCGCTACCTCAAACCTCCATTAGGAGTAAAGTGAGTATACAGGGTGTTCCGTCTAAACCCCACTTTAAAAGTATTGGGAGTTCGAATAATCATATTTGTTTGAAAATTGGTACATAGCCATAATGCATTAAGTCCTCCTAAATGAAAATATTTTCAAGATGGTGGCACTTCCGCTTATACCGGAAGTCGGTCTCAATTTTCTGATTTTAAATGGAAAGGTATATTTTTTACTGCGTTTTTGGATTAATCGGGTTATTTTAAGGGAGTTTTCATCGGCTTTCCCTATACCTAAATTTAGCCGTTTTTGAAATATTTGAAGTTTTACAAAAAAATTTGGTACTGCACCTTCCAATTTAAAAATCGGTAACTCTGCCATTTTTTTAGATTTTGAATTCGTTTTTTTTTTGGCGTTTGGAAGAGAAAGCTTAGATCCTTTTTCTGGTGTTTTCAAATTTTGAAAAAAAAACATCCCAAAATTTAGGGTTACTTATAATTTAAATACTCACAACTTATTTTTTCAAATGAAAAAACCCAATTTTTATTTTACTAAATAGAAGAGAATTTAATTGGGCATTGATCTGTATTAACATTCCCTATACCTAAATTTAATAATTTTCAAGTTATGGACTTTTTTTAAGCCTACAGAAAATTTATTACTAGCCACACCCGTTTTCACATAGTTTGCAATGGAAATAAAAATGTCAAAATTTTCTCTAAACAAACGTCAACAGTAAATTACTATTTGACAAATAGTGCCAAAATATGAAAAACCAAAGTTGTGCAAACTTAATTATTATATAAATTATTATATAAATGTCAGTTGTCAATTTTGACATTTTTGATTTCCATAGCAAACTATGTGAAAACGGGTGTGGCTAGTAATAAATTTTCTGTAGTTTTAAAAAAAACTTCATAACTTGAAAATTATTACCTTTAGGTATAGGGAATGTTAATACAGATCAATGCACAATTAAATTCTCTTCTATTTAGTAAAATAAAAATTGGGGTATTTTATTTAAAAAAATTGAGTTATGAGTATTTGAATTATTACAAAAGTAACCTTAAAATTTTGGGATTTGTTTTTTTTTTCAAAATTTGAAAACACCAGAAAAAGGATCTAAACTTTCTCTTTCAAACACCAAAAAAACGAATCCAAAATCTTAAAAAATGACAGAGTTACTGATTTTTAAAGTGGAAGATGCATTTCCAAAAATTTTTGAAAAACTCCAAATATATCAAAAATGGATAAATTTAGGTATAGGGAAAGCTGATGAAAACTCCCTGAAAATAACCCGATTAATCCAAAAACGCAGTAAAAAATATTTAAAATAAGAAAGTTGAAACCGACTTCCAGTATAACCGGAAGTGTGGCGATCTTGAAAATATTTTCATTTAGGAGGACTTAATGGTTTATGGCTATGTACCAATTTTCAAATAAATACGATTATTCCAACTCCCAATACTTCTAATGTGGGATTTAGACGGAACATCCTGTAGTTTAAGCTACTCGCTACGTTCGTGTTACTAATTTTTTTTTTATAAAAGGCCTACGTGTATCAATATTGCCAATGTGGGGGAGCAAAATTCGACATCGGGTCAGGAATCGACGTCCGCCGTTACGAATCAGCAAGTTTCGGATCCGAATGAAATCCCAAAAGGATTAGCTGTGTGGAGAGAAGCTGTGAATAGGGCTCAGACGTCGGCACAGTTGGCCATGTGTCTTTACTCACTCGAATCGTCCATCGCTTGGGACAAGAGTATCATGAAAGCTGTGAGCTCTTCTCATGTCTTTAATAAAATGAGAGCCCGCAAATATAACAGCAAGCTCAGTGTGGGTGCTTGTGCTTTTTCTAGTTTTTTAGTTTGCTCAATGTGTGGTGAAAATTCGGTACTAACTGCATGAGAATTAATTGCATGATGATTTAGATTTTAGATTTGGTTTCATTTTTCACCACATATTTTATTTTATCGAATAAAATTTCATTTCATTTAATTACTAGCAACAGCTCGATTTTTTGACTAATTTTAATGGCTGTCTGCACCTAATTTTCATTTCACTAATTGGAAAAATTGTTGGGTTGAGTGTTTGATGTCTGAGTTTTCTTACAGAACTGCCAGTTTTGCCACAGTGGGGACAACGAAGATAAACTTTTGTTGTGTGATGGTTGCGATAAGGGCTACCACACGTACTGCTTTAAACCGAAAATGGAAAATATTCCTGATGGTGACTGGTATGTATTTTAAAGAAAATAAAAAAACATTTTTCGGCCTCCGTCTAAAATTAGTGAAAACACCCATTTGTATTGTCTATGCAAGAAAATAAAAACAGGGTTTTTTAATGAAAGTTTTTGTATTGGTAGCACTGAGACACTGAAATGTCAAGTCTGTTCTGTAGTTTTCTTTCTGTTACAAATTCTGTCCACTGCCTTTTTTCATCCAAGATCCAACCCTAAAACAGCTTTCCGCAGCCAACAAATGACTTTTTGGAAGTGTGCAAAAAATTTGTTTCACATAAAAATAACCTCAAACCATGATGAAAACTGATTCCTTCCGGCCTAAATCTCGTATTTCTACAACATTTCACTGCACCGAAAAGTCGAATCAGAATGAATCGAATTTTAAGAAAATTTTCGGAAATTTTTCTGGCAATAAATTTTGAATTGCAGCTTCTGCCACATTCTGAATATGCTCTGGCGTATCTTGTGTATCCATTTTCAACTAATGCAATTGAATTTTCTTCTCAAAAATCTTAATTATTTTAAAAATGTCATAAAATTATTTTAAATTTAAATCATTACACCGTGCAGTAAGTGCTACCAATAGAAGAAAAATAAATTCCCTAGCCGGAGAAAATTTAACAATAGGTCTAGCCCTATATGCATGGGCTAGGTGCCCCAGCGTCTATTTTCGTAGGTATGTCAACGATATGATCATTTGGGATAAAGTAGTCTTAGGAAAAATTTCAGTTTGCCAACCCCTCCAATAACTGAAATAGAGGGGTAACAACCCTTAACTTATTTTTTTTATCTCAATAACTAATAAAGATATTCGAATGCATTCAACGCACACTTGTAGAGAATTTTGAACTCTATTACATATATTTTTCTTTGATTTTTATCTTTATTCTAAAAACTCATTTTTTTTTTAATTGGGGGTGATTTTTTTTTCAATAACCCCTTATTGGTCGGCGTTTAAACCTACAAGATACAAAAATCATAGGAAAAAATAAAATCAACTATTGTCACTATTTTATGTAATATCGAATTCATAAAAAACTTGTACAGCAAAATTTTGTTGGAGTAAATTAGGCTACGTGAAAATGTCAAATATTAACGTCTGTCATTATGACAATTTTAATGTTTAAGTTTTTAAAGCACTAAATTCTCAAGTATGTTTTGAAAAAGATGTTAAATTGCAAATAATAGGTAGGCCAACCATTACAGACGTATTCAAGTTGTCTAGTTGACCTGTTGAAATCAGTAACCAGTTAACCTAAAGTACGTAGAAATGTTACACTACAAATTTTTTTACAATTTGACGTAACTACGATGTTTTGCTGTCCTAGTTTTTTATGAATGCGATAGTACGTGATTGGCTTTTTTTGTTGTGTTAGGTAAAATAAAACATTTTACAAGAAACGTAACCTTTTCAGGTTTTACATTACTTCGGAATTTTGAAGGCGAAGGGCGATAGTCCCTTGTTTTTTAAAAATTCGTCCGCAATATAAAAATCTTAATAACGTTTACTTATTACGTAAGTTACTATACCGAGTGAGTAAAAAGTATGGGAAAAAAATTTTTCGAAAATCTTGGAAATGGCAATCTACTATGACAATTTTTTTACTTAAGGATTTTATACTAAAAGTGACCTCTAATAAAACTGATTTTTAACCAGTAGTTTTTTTTTTAATTAGAAAACCAAGAAACAAATCGAAAAATGTTATTCCAGAAAAACGATCATATTTGAATAGTGCTTTAAACTGCACTAATTATTTTTTGCAAAATAATTAGTTATTTTTTGCAAAATAATTAGTTTATGCAAAAAACGCTTGGTTCCATATTTTTTATTCACCAGGTATAGTAGTTTACGAAATAAGTAAACGTTATTAAAGTTTTTATATTACGAGCGAATCTTTGAAGGGCTATCGCCCTTCGCTTTCAAAAGTCCCAAGTAATGTAAATCCTGATAACGTTACGTGCCTTGTAACACGTTTTATTTTATCTAAAACTTCAAAAAAAATTTGGCTAACTGTAGCAGTGTTTTTATCATTATCATTATCGTATATTCTCTGTATAACTGTTACTTCCCTATGTTTCTTGGAAGATCAATCAAGACAAGTAATACAGAGTGTTCCGTCTAAACCTCACATTAAAAGTATTGGGAGTTGGAATAATCATATTTGTTTGAAAATTGGTACATAGCCATAATGCATTCCCTATACCAAAATTTACTAATTTTTAAGTTATGGTGACTTTTTGTTAAGACTGCCGAAAATCTATTACTAGCCATATCCGTTTTCGTATAGTTTGTTTTCAAAAATGTCAAAATTGTTTGTCAATAAACGTCGACAGTGACTTATTATTTGACAAATAGTGCCAAAATATGGAGAGTCAAAGCTACTCAAACTTAGATTTAATTAATTTATTTTGTATTTATGGAGAGTGTAACAAAATTATGATGTCGTTCATTAAACAAAAATAAATTTTTCTCACTTGTTAGCTTTAAATAATAATCGCATGGTAGAACCTATCAATAATAATTAAGTTTGCATAACTTTGGTTTTTGATATTTTGGCACTATTTGTCAAATAGTAATTTACTGTTGATGTTTGTTTAGAGAAAATTTTGTAATTTTTGATTTCCATATCCAAACTATGTGAAAACGGGTGTGGCTAGTAATAAATTTTCTGTAGTTTTAATAAAAAGTCCATAACTTGAAAATTATTAAATTTAGGTATAGGGAATGTTAATACAGCTCAATGCACAATTAAATTCTCTTTCTCTTCTATTTAGTAAAATAAAAATTGAGGTATTTCATTTGAAAAAATTGAGTTATCAGTATTTGAATTATTACAAAAGTACCCTTGAAATTTTGGGATGTTTTTTTTTTTCAAAATTTGAAAACACCAGAAAAAGAATCTAAGCTTTCTCTTTCAAACGCCAAAAAAACGAATTCAAAATCTTAAAAATGACAAAGTTACCGATTTTTAAAGTGGAAGGTGCAGATCCAAAAATTTTTGAAAAACTCCAAATATTTCAAAAACGGTTAAATTTAGGTATAGGGAAAGCTGATGAAAATTCCCTTAAAATAACCCGATTAATCCAAAAACGCAGTAAAAAATATAGCTTTCCATTTAAAATAAGAAAGTTGAGACCGACTTCCGGTATAAGCGGAAGTGCCGCCATCTTGAAAATATTTTCATTTAGGAGGACTTAATGGTTTATGGCTATGTACCAATTTTCAAATAAATATGCTTATTCGAACTTTCAATACTTGTAATGTGGGGTTTAGACGAAACATCCTGTATATGAGAGGCCAATCACGTACATAAAACAGTGAAACTATGTAGTTAGTTTTATTTTTTTTTACCTATGTTCCACCATTCCTATGATTTTTGTATGTTGTGGGTATAAAAGCTGAATAATAGAGAATTATCCTCAATTTTTTCGCTAGGTGTCACGAAAGAGGTTGTTAAAAAAAGTCACCCCCAATTTTTGAAAATAAAAATAAAAAAAAGAATAAAGATAAAAATGAAAGAAAAATATATGTAACAAAATTCAAAATTCTCTACAAGTGTGCGTTGAGTGCATTCGAATATCTTTATTACTTATTAAGAAAAAAAAAATTAAGGTCAGGTCAGGTCAGGGTTGGTACCCCTCTATTTCAGTTATTAGAGGGGTTGTCGATCTGAATTTTTTCCTAAGACTACTTTATGCCAAAAGGATCATATCGTTGACATACCTACAAAAATAGACACTGTGGCACCTAGCCCAAGCATATACGCTTGACCCCTTGTTTTTACTTGCAGTTGTGAAGACTCGGCTAACGCCTCATCTTCACAATCCGTGTTCGCACTTGCAAAATGACAGTTTCTAGCCTAGTAATACAAATAATTTTTATAAGACAGCTTTTTCACCCTTTCTCTAGGTATTGCTACGAGTGCATGAACAAGGCGACAGGCGAGCGTAATTGCATCGTTTGTGGTAAGAAATCGTCGACGTCTGGTACTCGACTGATATTATGCGAACTGTGTCCTCGCGCCTACCACACCGACTGCATTCATCCCATGATGCACAAAGTTCCTCGCGGAAAATGGTACTGTTCCAAATGCATATCGAAGAAACCTCAAAAAAAGACTATGCGTAAGAACCATGCAAAGTGTAACAAGGACAGCGAACTGTCCGACCATCCTCCTTCTAGGTAACTCCAACATTTGAATTTCTTTAATTTTTTTAACTCATTTTGTTCTTCAGTCCCGCACCGTCTCATAGTTCCGTTACGACGAACGAAGAAACAACGAATTGCAACCAAAGCGACGTCTCTAATTCGAGTCTCGGCAATGCAGGCTCTCCGTCCACGCAAACTTCCAAAAAGGATCGCATCTCGAAGAAATTACTCAAAGAACTCGCACCGTGTAAGACAATTTTAGAAGATTTGGAATGCCACGATGATGCGTGGCCCTTTTTACTTCCGGTGAATACGAAGCAATTTCCAACTTATAAGAAAATCATCAAAACTCCTATGGATTTGTCAACTATCAAGAAAAAATTGTACGATGTGAGGTTTGTATTACTTTCATCAAAATTGATTGTGTGAGTGATTTGTGTTTTTCTCTGTGTAGTTATAAATCAAAAGAGGAATTCGTTTTGGATGTGAGACAGATTTTCAACAACTGCGAAGTGTTTAATGAGGACGATAGTCCTGTCGGTAAAGCAGGTCACTGCATGCGTCAGTTTTTCGAAGCTCGGTGGAACGAGTTGAGTATTTCAAATAGTTGAGGACTACTTTATCCCAAAAGACCTTACCATCGAAGAATGAGGCCCCCGGAAAACAGTGTTTAAAATTTCGATGAGGTGTGATTTAAAAAAATGATTTTTTCGATTGTATTACTGCGAAAACAAAAACAGTACAGGTATTTCCAGTGTGTGATATTGACTTTAAAAATGTATACTTGAGCTTTTTATCGTTCAGAAATTGTAATTATTTGAATGCAATTAAAAAATCTTGGATTTGCGCATCACTTGACTTAAAAAGAATGTGATTTTTAGTTGGTTTCTCAATTTGTATTAATTTGTATTTTTGATAATTATGTATTTTTTTATTTAATTATTTATTTAGGATAATTTTTTGGTTCATTAAATGTTCAGTGGTTTTTATTTATTTATTTTCTAACTCAATTTTCAGTTTCTTGTCTTGAAGTTGCAGTGAAATAGAAGAGTAAGAGTTTGTATAAAATGTAAAGAAATTTCTTCACATACTTGCATCGCTCAACCTTAAATTAAATGTCTCTCTAGCCTATTACAAAATGTTTTTATGTAAGCTGAACATAGTTCTCAAAAGGAAAGGATGTATTAATAAATAATGTGTTTGGTAGGCTAGTTCTCTGCAGCGCTAAACTGCAACTCATAGAACTAGGTTATGTATTTTAATGTAAGATATTTATATTAATTATATTTACTTATAAATGTCGAACTTTTTTATTTTTCCATCCAAATCTCCAACAAAAAGAAAAAAGAACACAACTGTGTATTTTTACCAATGATCATTCACAATTATAAATTTAATATGTGTCTTTCTTGTGGTATATTTATAACGGAAAAATGTTCTTATGATTTTTGTTAAATAATATATTAAAGAACAAGTTTTATAAGGGTTGATTTGGCACACGAATCCCAAGTTAGAAAACGAGCCGTAGGCCATTATAAAACGAGTATTTTATGGTATTTTCTAATTTGCGCCTTTTTTTTTTTCTTATTTTAATTAAAAAATATTTTTGTTGTCTAGAGAATTTTGTGTTAGTTGGTATCGGTTGGTGACACTCGGCGCCTACCTGATTTTTTGAATTATTTCTGCCGTCTGTGATTAAAAATAAAATTTACAACTTATTAGTTATTAATGTTATATAACAATAATAAATAAAATATGAGCCAACAGAATTTAGTTTGCACTCCGCCCGAAATTCGCGAAATTGCCGAAGCAACAACGCAAAATTTGTTACCTGACAAGTCAGAAGCGGCATCCAAAAACTAAATAACCCTAAATTCATTAAAGCATAGTGTGCTTTTTTATAGATAGCCATAAACGACTCCTACTGAGAGACGTTAAAAAACGTATGATAAACGCAAATTAGAAAAAAGTAGATGAAATTAATAATCATAACTAAAAAAGTGTCAGTTTTAGAACCATTCGGTTCCTCGCAGATTCGGTAGAAAACACACACGGGCTGTCACTTGTCAAACGTTATCATAACCTTAACCTCTCAAAACGTAAATAAAAACAAATTTACTTTAAAAATGGAACAAAACACCACCCAACAAGTAAACGTATACCGAAAAATGTTAGCTGCATCAATTTGTAGTATTTTAATGGAGTCTGGTTTTGAAACGGCCGACAAAGAAAGCATCGGTACATTAACAGAAATGATCCAATGCTGTAAGTTTCTCCAACATTTATTTTCAAAATAAACTCAGTTTCTTCCAGTTCTAACTGAAGTTGGTTCACTTTCAAAAAGCTACTGCGAATTATCGGGCCGTTCGGAGCCCTTAGTCGCCGACGTTATTTTAGCATTTGTGGAAATGGGGCACAATTTCAGTGACTTGATGGTGTACACAAAAGGCATGAAACATTCAGTTTTACCCCCTTTGCAACCACAACAGCCTCAAAAACAGTTAAATATGTTGCCGGCAGGGTCTAAACACCCGTTGCCCCCCTATATCCCACAGCATTTACCACAGTTTCCTGACCCCCATGCCTACGTTAGGACTCCTGTAAGTTTTTGGTTTTGTGTGAGTCAAATGTTTTATAAATGTATTGCAGACACACAAACAACCAATTATTGATTATGAATCGGTGAGAGAAAAAGCGGCGATTCAGAAAAAAGACATAGAAAAGGCGTTAACAAAGTTTCTTGCAAAGACTAACCCCACACACAATTTGTTTGATACAGATGAGGCAAATATCTTTCCACGTAAGTGTTTTATACAGGCTGTTCCGTCTAAACCTCACATTAGAAGTATTGGGAGTTTGAAATAATCGTATTTATTTGAAAATTGGTACATAGCCATAAATCATTAAGTCCTCCTAAATGAAAATATTTTCAAGATGGCGGCACTTCCGCTTATACCGGAAGTCGGTCTCAACTTTCTTATTTTAAATGGAAAGGTGTATCTTTTACTGCGTTTTTGGATTAATCGGGTTATTTTAAGGGAGTTTTCATCAGCTTTCCCTATACCTAAATTTAGCCGTTTTTGATATATTTGGAGTTTTTCAAAAATTTTTGGTACTGCACCTTCCACTTTAAAAATCGGTAACTCTGCCCATTTTCAAAGATTTTGAATTCGTTTTTTTGGCGTTTGGAAGAGAAAGCTTAGATCCTTTTTCTGGTGTTTTCAAATTTTGAAAAAAAAAAACATCCCAAAATTTAGGGTTACTTATAATTTAAATACTCATAACTCATTTTTTCAAATGAAAAAACCCAATTTTCATTTTACTAAATAGAAGAGAATTTAATTGGGCATTGATCTGTATTAACATTCCCTATACCTAAATTTAATAATTTTCAAGTTATGGACTTTTTTTAAGCCTACAGAAAATTTATTACTAGCCACACCCGTTTTCACAGTTTGCTATGGAAATCAAAAATGTCAAAATTTTCTCTAAACAAACGTCAAAAGTAAATTACTATTTGACAAATAGTGCCAAAATATGAAAAATCGAAGTTATGCAAACTTAATTATTATTGATAGGTTCTATCATGCGATCATTATTTAAAGCTAACAAATGAGAAAAATTTATTTTTGTTTAATGAACAACATCATAATTTTGTTACACTCTCCATAAATACAAAATAAATTAATTAAATCTAAGTTTGAGTAGCTTTGACTCTCCATATTTTGGCACTATTTGTCAAATAATAAGTCACTGTCGACGTTTATTGAGAAACAATTTTGACATTTTTTAATTCCACAGCAAACTATAAGAAAACGTAATAGATTTTCGACATTCTTAAAAAAAAGTTACCATAACTTAAAAATTATTAAATTTTGGTATAGGAAATGTTAATACAGATCGATGCAGAATTAAATTCTCTTCCATTTAGTAAAATAAAAATTGGGGTATTTCATTTAGAAAAATTGAGTATTTGAATTATTACAAAAGTAACCTTAAAATTTTAGGGTTTGTTAATTATTTTTCAAAATTTGAAAACACCGGAAAAAAGATCTAAACTTTCTCTTTCAAACGCCAAAAAAACGAATTCAAAATTTAAAAAAATAGCAGTTACCGATTTTTAGAATGTAATCCAAAAAATTTTGAAAAACTCTAAATATTTTAAAAACGGCTAAATTTAAGTATAGGGAAAGCCGATGAAAACTCTTTTAACATAACCCGATTAATCCAAAAACGCAGTAAAAAATATACCTTTCCATTTAAAATAAGAAAGTTGAGACCGACTTCCGGTATAACAGGAAGTGCCGCCATCTTGAAAATATTTTCATTTAGGAGGACTTAATGTATTATGGCTATGTACCAATTTTCAAATAAATACGATTATTTCAACTCCCAATACTTTTAATGTGGGGTTTAGACGGAATACCCTGTATTGTAGAATTTATATAAAGCGGGATTTTTTTAGTAATAGCTTGTAAACCTGCCTACCCCCCTTATTTGAGTGCTCTCCTCCCACAGGATCAAATTTTTGATCCTGAAGACCTCGAGTATGACCATAAAAGTCAGATGATCCAACAATCGAAAGAACAAAAAGCGAAAGAAAAATCTGAAAATAAAGATGAAGAAGAAACTGAAGAAACGTTAAATGATTCCACAAAAAGTGAAGAAAATACAAATACAAATGTATATATTGATAACCCGTATCTAGCTGCAACCAAATTACCTAAAAAGGACGAAATGGAAGTGTCATAAGTAAGGCTAAAGTTAGTTTTAATTTTTTTATTTATACAAAATATAGGTAGCATTTAATATATAATTTTATTTAGGAAAATCTGAGTTACAGAAATGAATATAACAAGATTTAAATCAAACACACTTTTGTTACTTTTTGAAAACAAGAATGGCTGAAATAAAGCCTCCTCTTCCAAACTTGTCATCCACCCTACCACACTTTCATTTCGATTTTGTACTTTAAGCCACAACATCAAGGGTTGAAAATACTGAAGCATTGCTTCAGCAGATAGTCGATCTGACTGCCCTCTAGTTAACATCTTAATCACTTCTTTCCAATGCCTGGCCTTGCCAACTTTCAACAAGTCCCTGAAAAAATCCCTGTAATTATTATTTTTTAAATATCAAAAGTCGTTACGATAAAACACGTCCGGCTTCCCTCGACCGGTAAATATCACAATTATGCAACGGTCCCACGTGACCCGAAGCAAAACACATCGAACTATGAATCTGAAATTCGAGTAAAAGCGCTACGTAATATTTCATATATGAAATATCGGCGGGAATGTGGCGTTTTGCAGCAGCGTCGAAATGGCTTTCAGTGCGAGGGATTGGAGGGATTATTCCCTGGTAGCGTAGGCGTAATTCCCACCAAGCTGCGTTCATGTTTTGGACCCCATTTTGGAAAATCTCGTAACGCCACTAAAAAAATTATACTGAAATTGGAATTGGGAGAAAATAGTATATTAAAGTACAAGTTGCACAAATTTGAAATTCCGAAACGAGCTGCGAGTTGAGGAACAAATGAGTGCTTGAAGAACCTTCTGCAACAAGTGCTTTATACTATTTTTTCTATTTCGCCGCTTTATATCATTTTATAAATTAAAAAACGAAAATTTAATTTTTTTCTAGAGAATTTTGCGACGGTTGGCGACATTTAGGTATGTGGAATAATTTTATGCGGCTGTACAGGGTGCTGCATTTTGGATGTCCGAATAGGGAATCTCCGAAACTAAGAGGTTTAGCCAAAAACGACTAATACATTCTGGGGCTCATTTTTTGAGTAAATAATATTGGTTAAAACCGCATCCCGCTATCATTTTTTGTTTTTGACTTATAGACAAAAATTGACATTTTAGCGAAATCTAAAAAAATTCATATCTTCCTTATTATAGAAGACACAAATTTGAAATAAAGACATAATACAGGCACTTTTTTACGTAGAATTTAATAATGTAGTTAACAATTTTTTTCAGTTGTTTGTTTAGCCGTAATAAAATATACTTGTATTTTTTTAAATGGGAATCATAGATGGCTATGTCATTTTTGTAAAGCTTGTTTTTTTCTTATCTAAAAAATATATATTTGCAACAAATTATTATAATACATTTTTAGCAAAAAATTATCTTTGATTTTTGTTCGCAGTTGGCCATGAAAAATGTTGCATCTTCAACTAAAAGGATTTAAACTATATTATATTCAACCAGTGTCACTAATGAAAGAGTTTTCTAAGTACTAAGTAATGGAAAAGTTGCAAAATAAATTGTAAATCAACTTATTGGCGACTAATAACATTTCTTTGTTTTTAAACAAGCTAACATTACCATTACAACTTCTAGTGATATATAGAGTGTTGTAAAAAAAAGGCCGCTTTAATTCTTCAATAAAATATATTTTATATAACACAAAAATGACGATATGGCTATTCAAATACCCAAATTCCGTCTATGTAAAACGTTATCCTACCTCCAATAGATCATCAAAAAAATGTTTTTTCTAATTGTGTTGACTGTTGACACATTTGTTTTTCCTATTTTTGGATTTTTTTAAAATACGTAATAATTTTGTTCTGAGGCGCTCGCATATTTGTTCAATGCTTCGTCCGTATCGTATTTTTTAAATTTTTATAATCTTATCTATTTTTTCATCTATTTTACAGTTCACAAAACTCTTATTGATTATTATTTACACATTTGGAGTGAAATAGTTTTTCCATGGCCAACTATTATCAAACAAAATATGTATTTCACTTTTTAAGTATAGTTGTAAAAAAATATTCTGTTACAAATATGTATGTTTTAGATCAGAAAAAAATAAGCTTTTCAAAATTGCCATAGCTGCCTATGATTTCCATTTAAAAAAATACAAGTTTGTCTTATTACGGCTAAACTAATAACTGAAAAAAAAATGTTAACTACATTATTAAATTCTTCGTAAAAAAGTGCCTGTATAATGTCTTTATTTCAAATCCGTATCTTCTACAATAACGAAGATATGATTTTTTTTAGATTTCGCCAAAATGTCAACTTTTGTCTGTAAGTCGAAAACAAAAGACGATAGCGGGATACGGTTTTAACCACTATTATTTTTTCAAAAAATGAGCCCCAGAATGTATCACTCGTTTTTGGCTAAACATCTTTGTTTCGGAGATTCCCTATTCGGATATTCAAAATGCAGCACCCTGTACAAAATATAAATAATTCATATTTTCACATTTGAAAATGAATTGTGAAGAAAGTCCGTCACTAAAATTAAATTACCGCGAACGACTCATTCCAGCACTCAAATGACCTCATTTGGGTGCTGGAATAGACTTATTCCGAAATAGAAAAAAATACTTACCGCGTCCACTAGATATGCAAAAGGGGCAAAAGCAACCTTTTTCAAAGCCATCAACATCAAAAAATTAATGTTAGTTTCGTAACTGTCTGTGTTTTGGTTAAATAAGCCGACTCGGTGCAAGTGCACCGGATTGAAAACTGATAAGGAGATGGCGTTTGAGACTCCTTCGTGGAAGCCAGGGTTGGCCCCGTCTCGGTATAAGTATGGTTGCTCGTTGTAATATAAGTAGTACTGAATGTGGGCCATTTCGTGGTGTGTTGAAATTAAATCATCCATGTTTACTTCAGTACACTGTTTTATTCTGTAATCAATTTTGTTACAAAAGTCCCACGCACTTGACGTGCATTGTACTTTGCGGTCGTTTGGTTTTTCAAACATTGAGAAACGCCAAAATTCGGGGGGCATGGGTTTGAGGCCGAGGGAAGTGTAGAATTCTTCGGCCATCTGAAACATTCTAATAACGATTTTATTATTTCAAACTTTCAAAGAACAAATTACTGTACTTAATTTTAATCAAATTTAAAACGAAATTTTAAAAATACAAATGGTGGAAATTTTAAATATCAACATTAGAATCACAGAAAGATCGATTTCGAATTTTTAAAGAATGAAAAGATGTTTATATTTGTGTTATTACTAAATAGTTTTGTATTCTAAAATTTCTAAATTTTAAAAAAACAAATTCATATTTTCAGTTAAGTACATTCTAATTCGAGAAGTCTTAAGATAATTGGAAGTTTAAATTACGACTTTGAAACAGAAATTAGAATTCCAACTTCAAATTTTCAAATAGTTGAAGTCAAGTTTGAAGTGTTAGTGGTGTAATGCAAAAAAGTGCAAAATCGAAATCAACTACATATTTTGAAAACATAGTTATAGTTACTCTGAACCCTTAGTTCGCTTACAATTTGTTATTTTAGATATATATTTTTGAAAACACTTAATCTCAAAAAAAATATCTGGGAATGATTTTTATATTTTTATAAACAGATTGACGAAAATATTGACCCGGCGCATCCACCATTTTAGTGCACTTAAAACATGACTATTTCCCTCACAAAAAAAGCCACTCAAATGTTTCAAATTTCTGAGACTCATCCAATCAGATTTAAATAACACGATAATTTAGCACGTGAGCAAATACCCAATAATTAGCCCATGTGCCAAATTACCGAGAAATTTGAAAGATTTGAATGATATACAGTATGTCCCCGGATTGAGTTAAGAGAAAAAAAAAATTATCTTTGGTTTTACGCCAAAACTGCAAAGGAAAAAAAGTTTTTGCTTTACTTGAAACCAGCAAATCTGTAATTAAAACTTCATTATTCTAACTCAGTAGAAAGAAAAGTTCATTTTTTTCTCTTGATTTTGGAATAATTTTTCTCACATTGACGGTTTTATTATTTTGACAATGATGTCACTATGACAAATGAGTTTACGCAAGTTAAATAACAAAAATGTTTGTAAAAAACATAATTTTAATAAATGGCAACTCAAAGAAACAGCTTTAAGCTAAAAACCAATGTAATTTTTAACAAGAACTATCATTATTTAATTAATAAATTAATTGTCAAAGTGACATATAGTTGTCAAATCATTAAAACCGCCAATGTGATAAGACTTAAAAAGCAGAGAAAAATTATTTTAAGTCCAAAATCAAGAGAAAAATGAACTTTTCTTTCTACTGAGTAAGAATAATGAAGTTTTAATTACAGATTTGCTGGTTTCAAGTAAAGCAAAAACTTTTTTCCTTTGCAGTTTTGGCGTAACATCAAAGATAAAAAATTTTCTTCTCTTGTAAACTTAATCCGAGTGCATACTGTAGATAAAAAAATAACAAATATTTTTTTTAGTTTCTGATAATGAAAACATTGTATTTGTAAATTTTGTTCGGGAAATAATCGTCGTGCATGCCAAATTATCGACAATTTAACATTGACACTATTGATAATTATAATAATTATTATAAAAATTCGTTCCTTTCAGGGTGTATCGATTGATTTTTCTTATTTTAGCACAAAAATATCGTTATTTTTACATAATTTTGTGGAATCGGTCCAAAACATTGTAAAATCAAATCTCAATTTCCTCTTTGAAATTTCGAAATAATACACCAAAAAAAATCTGATTTTGAGTTTAAGAGATTGGAATATTTCTAGTTGAAACATATTGAATACTAAATTTTAAAAGTCTGGATTTGTTAAACAAATTCTAGTCCACATTTTGGCTAAAGGCATACGAGTTTAATGGTTTTTAAGTGGAAATTATAAATTGTGTTATTATTTATTTATTTCAGGTTAAAAATTTCTAAAAATTACAATAAATTGTAATTTCAATTTCAATTAAATTTGAAAGTCGGTCAAAAGTTCGAGTTTACAGGAGTTCAAGAGAATTTTCCAGTTATAAGTAAGTATTAAGTTTAATTACGAAGTTGTAAGTCTATAAGAAACTCTATAAGAAAACAATATTATGAATGCCACCCGTTTCATTATGATACATTTAAAAAGATTTAAAAAAAAGTAAGTACAGGTACCAGCACAAAATAATAACATATTTACATGAAAAAACAAATAAACAAGATACATATCAGGATTCATAAATATTGAATAGTATGAACTAAAATCTCAGCTTATTTCTCAACAAGCTGGAAATTTTAGATTTATAATCTACAATTCAGAATTGGGGAATAAAAATTTTAGACTTCGATTCCGAGGGTGAGTTTGAATTTTGAATCACAAGTCAGATTATTTAAAGCATAATATACGTTCATGATGATTCAAAAGGTCCGTACTAGATCGTGGTGTGGTTTTTACAATTTTTACGTAAAACGTTAAATTTCGCGCATGATGTAGTTCAAAAGGTACTGACTGAGCGTTGTTCATTTACGCTATGTTTAAATACCTATTTACTCACCACGCAACGATAAAAAATTAGCATATCAATGCTTATAGTAACGTTTAATCAAATAAAAACAAATTATATAGGACATTGATAGATAGTAATCTAGTCCATCGCCTAAAATTATTTTCAACTATACAGCGTGTCTCAAAAATAAGTTACAATACAAACTTGTGTTTTTTTTAATTAAACATCATATGTTTCTTAGTGTTTTTGGATGTAGATTTAGATGATAATGTTTCTAAGCTAAACTTTTATTGGTCGACTTTGCTTAGTTTTAAAAATAAGACGGTTTTTTGACGAAAACATGTACTTAAAAAAAATATTACACAAAAACTAAGACATCTAGAAATATGTTTTTTTTTACTACCGCAAAGAACAAGCTATAAGGTTGCAATATTTTTTTAGTGTGTTGCATTTCCAATGATAAAAAATGAAGGCGTTTCTTAAAAGTTCAATAACTTAAAAAATTAAATGGAACACCCTATTTATTGTTTTTGCATTTAAAAGATTATTAAATTGTCTTTCTAAAATTATTACTTTTAGGTTTTTATAATCAATAACTAAAAAAGATATTTAACGTTAAACATTAAAACAAATAATTACTATTGTTTCAGTAGCCAAAAAGTGCACAGTTGCACAAGAGATGGAAGAAATATCACTTAATAATCACATTTTTGTTAAACTGAATCCATTATTCTTTATTTTTACAGTAAAATAATTCAAATTTCAGTGTTTATGTCAACTTTAACAATCTTTGAATAAATCAACGGATATGTGATTTATGGTTGCCATGGTATCAACAATGCTCAGATATTGATAAGGCATTGTTGCTACAATTAATACTGAATGTTAAATATCTTTCCATTTGTGAATTGTAGACATTAAAAGTTAATTTTTTTAGATAGACAATTTATCAATCTATTAGAGTCAAAAATAAAAAATAGGGTGTTCCATTAAATTTTTTAAGTTATTTAACTTTTAACAAACTTCTTAATTTATTAATCTTTACAAATGCAAAACACTAAAAAATTGCTACAGCTTTAAATTCTGTACTTTCTTCTTTGCAGAAGTAAGAAAAAAATTGTTCTAGCTGCCTTAGTTTTTGTGTAATAAATTTTTAAAAAGTGCATCTTTTCGTCAAAAAAACCGAACCGTCTTATTTCTAAAACTAGGCGAAATTGACTAATAAAAGTTTAGCGTAAAAACATTGTTTTAGAAGGCTACATCGAGAAATGCCAAGAAACATATGGTGTTTAAAAAACACAAGTTTGTATCGTAACTTATTTTTGGGACATGCTGTATGATTGAAAATAATTTTAGGTGATGCACTAGATTAGTATCTATCGATGTCGTACACATTTTTTTAAATTTTACCACTTAAAGGTCACTTAGAGACTTTTTCAACTGGGACACCTGTTTCACTGGAATCACCGTGTATATGTATACACAGCCTGTATGTACAGGCTGTCCCAACGGTCCGAAAAACCTCTATAACTTGTTTATTTTAAGAGATATTGACTTTTTCTTTTTTTTAGATTATAGCTGCGTTTTTGATGCACATTTTAAAAATATTGCGGTTTATATACAGGGGGTCCCAATATTAAAAAAAACATTAAAGTTATGTTTTTTTAAATGGAATCTACTCAGTTTGATTTTATTTTTGGATTCTACGCTAAATTACAAATAACTTTTATAGAGGTTGTTTTCATTTGTTATCAATTTTGATTTGTGGCGCTTTTTTACCAGAATTTTTGAAATGCAGGGGTCTGTCTAAAAATTCGTAACTTCTAAATGCTTGCACACAAGTTAAAGTAAGTAACGCCGTTTGATTCCTGAAGGTTTGCCGCATCTTTTAAGTGTTTACTCAACAACCTGCTCAGTGGCATGTGCCTACTGCGATTTTTTAAACATGACAAATTAAAAATGTCAAAAACTCATTTTTTTTCAAATGGCACCCTCTATTTATTATTGTACCAATCAAAAGATCTTTTGACAAGCTTTCTATCAATATAAGGTTTGTATAGTCTAGTGTAAAATTCTAAGTTGCTATACTAAATTAACTAAATTTCGAAAAACTTTTCTGTTTTGGACAATAAAAATCGAGTGGGCTTCTGTCATTGTTGCGATCTGTCAATTTTATTGGGAAGATTATAAGTCCCAAAATGAATTTTACTCGTCAAGAACTCATTAACATGGTATACAGTCTTGGTGAAACGGATCGTAATATTTTATTGGCTTAAAGAATCTACAAATAAAAATACCCAAATGCAAGAGTGCCGCAAAGTGCTGCATTTAAAAAATTGTATAAAAATGTGTATAAACTGAGACCAACAACTGCGGAGGATATGAAACAAAGAATACGTGATACATTCCATTTAATAAATGCAGATATGCTAAGTCGTGTTAGACTATCTTTTAGACGAAGACTGCATACTTGTATTGAAAAAAATGGTAATATTTTTGAACATCTGTTATAAAGAAAATTGTAAAATAGCTTTAATGTTTTGTTTTTTTTTTGTTTGTTAATGTATTTACATTTTTCTACTAAATTGTGTTAATACTGAGTTTGCGATATTTTAGATTTTGCCTAATTTTCTCTGTAACTCAATTGTGGACAATATTGTACATTTTCTTGCAGCAAAGAATTTCCAATTCCATACTTTTGTTTATTTTCTGTGCTAATTTTTTTGTGCATAAGGCCCAGTCGATTTTTATTGTTCAAAACAGAAAAGTTTTTCGAAATTTAGTTAATTTAAGAAAGCAACTTAGAATTTTACACTAGACTATACAAACCTTATATTGATGGAAAGCTTGTCAAAAGATCTTTTGATTGGTGCAATAATAAATAGTAGGTGCCATTTGAAAAAAATGAGTTTTTGACATTTTTAATTAGTCATGTTTAAAAAATCGCAGTAGGCACATGCCACTGAACAGGTTGTTGAATAAACACTTAAAAGATGCGGCAAACCTTCAGGAATCAAACGGCGTTACTTAATTTAAGTTGTGTGCAAGCATTTAGAAGTTACGAATTTTTAGACAGACCCCTGCATTTCAAAAATTCTGGTAAAAAAGCGCCACAAATCAAAATTGATAACAGATAAATGAAAACAACCTCTATAAAAGTTATTTGTAATTTAGCGTAGAATCCAAAAATAAAATCAAACTGAGTAGATTCCATTAAAAAAAACATAACTTTAGTGTCCCTGTATATAAACCGCAATATTTTTAAAATGTGCATCAAAAACGCAGCTATAATCTAAGAAAAAGAAAAAGTCAATAACTCTTAAAATAAACAAGTTATAGAGCTTTTTCGGACCGTTGGGACAGCCTGTACATACAGGTGAAACTTAAAAAAAAGTGGTACCTAAGCGGTGTGAATCCCTGTCTCAGCATTTCATCAGTCACATCAATCGTCTTATACTCCGGATACGGCGCCACCATGTCTACGATTTTGCTCCAATCCTGTGCCCAGACATTTCCTAAAAGATGTGCAGGCAGCGGCCCTTCGGGCCTGACGACATACGGCCCATAAAATTGCAAAAGTTTCCTTCTGACATAAGTAAACAATTCCCTGTACAGCGGTTGCAAACTTATCCAAGTCTCAGCAATCTCAATCTCGAAATTCTGTTGTTCATAAGCAAATCTCATCTCCTCTCCCGCGTCCAAAAACCCGTTCATCCTCGCGGCCTGATTGGCGATTTGCACATATCTCATGAACTTATTTTTCATCGGGGGGCCCACCTTATCGTGCCATTCACGCCAGACATGAGCCAATTCCATGTGATTCCGCGAATTGCCCATAATCCGAATCACATCCGGGTCAAGTTCTAGGTCGCAGAAGAGACTCTCGTGGTTGTTAAACGGACATATCCTGATATGGCTGTAAATATCTTTCATTTCGGAGATGAGATGATAAATCTCATTGTATTTTTCGTCGGTTAAACTCGCACGGCTGTTTGTTATCAAAAATTTCAATTGTCGTCTGACCATTTGGTCGGGGAGGCGAGTCCAATCGAAAGTCATAGCGCGTTTCCAGGAGAGCTTGTTGAATTTTGCTTGAAGGGTTTGTTCTTCGATCATTTTTCGTTTGTTGAAGTCGGTCATGTTGGTTGAGTAAGTCCATCGCGCGGAACTGACGCGGTGACATATCCTCGAAGCCTCGTTGTCGTATTCACGCAGGAATTGCAATGCTTCGCCTAGGTTTACGTTCGTACCCTAAATAATAACGGACGTTATTGCATTAACATCTAACGGTGAAGCGAAATTTTTTATTGTTGGCGTTTCCACCAAGGTGAAAAGTATGAAACTAAGCCTTCAGAAAATAATAAATAAAAATTAAAGTGCTATAAAATATCTCAATGTGTTTTGAGAATGAAATTTTGTTATGCGATTTTATATTTCCTGAAAATAATGTTATTTTTTAATTTTTTTTTAATCAAGCTCCACTCTTGTTATCAGAATTAGCGATTCAGTTAATAAAGCATAATTAAAACTTAAATGTTATACAGGATAATTTTTTAAAAGCGGCAGGCGCTGTAGAATTTTTATACAGGATGACTCAGGGGTGTGTGCAATCTCTATAGCTTTTTTCTATACAAGTTATCGACATGATTTTTTTTAGGCAATGAGGCATATTGTAAAAATATTTTTATTTATACCGGGTGGGGCATCCGTTACGTCCAAAAAGAAAATCTCCACTTCTAATTAAATAAAATTGTTGAATTTTTTCACACTTACCTGGGCATTAGTAAGGTACATTCTCTATTTTTTTGGTATTTTTCATTCGCTAACAAAGCCAAAAAAATAAATAAAAAGTAATTTTCTCCCAAAAAATTTAATTCTAATTTTTATACTGACCTACGCAGATTCACTTCCTTTGAATAAAACGCAATTTTCCATCTTAACTTTGAAAATCATTTTTATTTATGACCTACTACTTGTGCCATCGTAAATTTAGGTGACAATGGGGAACTGCAATTGGGGTTTACAACAAAAAGACCCTTTAAAGCGCTCGGCTACCAGTAAATGATTCTTTTGTTGGCAAATTATACCATTTTGTCATAAATCACGGGTCTGGTTTGTGTTTAAATAAAAAAAAGTGATTATTTGGTTAACCAAGTCAAAATTTGAAATTGTGATATCAAAATTTGATGCGCTGACAGGTACAGATTCATTTAGTGTAAAACTTTATAGGTAAATTAACAGAAAATATTCATAAAACACACAAAACTGTTACGGACTCATTTATTATCCAAAAAAATTAGAAAAATTCTCAAATTATACCTTATCAATAGTTAGTTAGGTATACAAGGTTATTCATAAATATGAAGCAATATTTGAACCTCAAAAATGACCTATAAAATGATGTTAATTTAAATAATAACTCGTGTCCTATCTCTACTGATAAGAATTTTACAGCCCTCGGAATGTGGGTATGGAAATTTGATTTTTTTTGTAATAACTTTGGAACTATTTGACCAAATATTATAAAATTTGGAACATTTCCCTGTGACAACATACCCTTTGAATTGGTAATCACGAAAACCGGATACATCCACTCAATTTCTGGTTCCAGCAGTTGCAGGTCACATTTTTTGTGTTTTTCCATTTTTTTGCTCTCTTAACACCAATTTTTTATTGCCCAAATCGATAGAGTAATTAATTTCGAATAAAAAACGCATAACCTTTAATACCCCTAAAATGGACCGTTTCAAAGATATTTTAATTTAAACTGAGGGCTACACAACGCTGAAATCAAAAAATAGGGAATTTGAATAAATGATATCCACGGCAACAAATGACCATGGTCCCACAAATCGCTGTCAGGCATCTGTCAACTTTGACATTGGACGATTATTACACAATTAATCAAAAATATTTTATAAAAGAGTTTGCCTCAGATTCCAAACATAACTTAGAATAAATACAAATGGATCTCGTAGCATTTAATTCATAAAAAATTCAAAAAAATTTATTGTCAAAGTTAACAGATGCCTGGCAGGGATTTATGTGACCATGGTCATTGGTTGCCGTGGATACCATTTATTCAAAATCCCTATTTTTTGATTTCAGCGTTGTGCAGTCCTCAGTTTAAATTAAAATATCTTTGAAACGGTCCATTTTAGGGGTATTAAAGGTTATGCGTTTTTTATTCGAAATTGATCTCTCTATCGATTTGGGTAATAAAAAATTGGTGTTAAGAGAGCAAAAAAATGGAAAAACACAGAAAATGTGACCTGCAACTGCTGGAACCGGAAATTGAGTAGATGTATCCGGTTTTCGTGGTTACCAGTTCAAAAGGTATGTTGTTACAGGGAAATGTTCCAAATTTTATAATATTTGGTCAAATAGTTCCAAAGTTATTACAAAAAAATCAAATTTCCATACCCACATTCCGAGGGCTGTAAAATTCTTATAAGTAGAGATAGGACACGAGTTATTATTTAAATTAACATCATTTTATAGGTCATTTTTGAGGTTCAAATATTGCTTCATATTTATGAATAACCCTGTATGAAATATCGCCAGTTTTAATTAATTTGAAGTCGCGATTTATCAAGTGCGCGTAACCGATGCCCCACCCGGTATACAGGCTGTCCCAAAGTAAGATACACAACTAAGTTCTGTTTTTTTTTTAATGAAAATTCTCAGTTTTTATTACATTTTTGAATTCGCCACTAAATTGTCGATATAACGCACTTAGTGTCTTAGAATTATCTGCAATAGTTTTTTACTTATGCCAATTTATGTGTCAAAATTGCGTCGTGCGTAGACCCACAAAAAAATTCATTACTTCAAAACTATTCAAGATAACTTAACCAACTTTTTCCAGTCGATTCCTTAAGTTTTAGAGCATTTTCTGAGATAAAGGCAAACTCGGAGTCGATGTTTTTATTAAAAAAACAGAACTTGTGTATCTTATTTTGGGACACCCGGTATATGAATAAAAATATTTTTATAATGTGCCTCATTGTTGGATCTATCGCCTAAAAAAAATCATGTCGATAACTTGTATAGAAAAAAAGTTATGGAGCTTGCACGCACCCCTGGGTCATCCTGTATATGACCCGATATCAAAAATTAAAAAAGTAAGTGAAACATGGCTTTCAATACAGTACGATTATAAGCTGATATTTTAAAATTTTTCTTAAATGCATATTTTACTAATTTACAGAATATTTTGGGTAGTGATGGGCACAATCGAATGAATCTTAGCGAATAATTCGATAGTTGTTTGTCATTCGAATTATTCGATAGTAGAAAACGCATTCATTCGTTAAAAGAAATGAATATGAGCGCAATACCAAATTATCGAATAAAATCATTTGTTTCTTTCTCACGTATAGTGAGTTAATGTGTTTATCCACAATCACTCTATAAAGAGACTTTATTCCACACTTTAAATGCGTATAAAGTACCACTTTATCCACTAGTGGAATAAAGTAACTTTATTCCACTGTTAGTAACTAGCGCACCGCGTAGCTGTTTACTATGTTTAACCGAAAGCACATTTGGCGTGACGTTTAAATGTCAGTTTAATTTTTAATTAAGTTTGAAATAATTTGGGCCTGTCATTGTGGATAAAATGTTATATTGCAGTCGTGTGTTAGTCGCCTTTTATCCACTTAAGAAAACATTCTTCATTCAATAGAAGTTTGTACCTACTGAAATTTTGCCAAGCACGTACGCATATGAAAATTTGTTTGATTAAAATCGTTTATTTATTAAATAAATAATTAAAAAATACCAAAAAATAAAAACAAATTATAAAACATTTGAACTTAAACATTATACAATGTTGTTTTGTCTTCCAGATCCTTTATTTACTATTACTATTACAATTACATTTAAGACTTGGGTAAATGTAATTGTAATATTGTAAATGTAATTGTAATAAGATCTGGAAGCCAAAACTGGACTAATTGACATACAATATAGGTAGATCCACAAATAAACCTCCATTTAATCATTATACAATGGTTTTAATTAAAAATAATACAAAAATAACGAATAAAATTAAATAAAATTTACAACACTTTGGGTATTAACCTCTTAACTTGAAATTGTAACTCTGTTCGTTTATTTGTGAAAAATAATTTTGTTTGTTGAGGTTTTTTCAGTGGAGGTCCTAAAGGTCTTTGCAAAGTTTGTGATGCGAAAGATTCGGATGATCGAATCGAATGTTTTTGATTATCGAATAATTTGAACTATAGAATGAATCATTTCACCACCATTTATTTGCTCAAACGATTGAATAAAATAAATGAATGATTCATTCAATAGTTCAAATCATACAATAACTGATTTTCGATAGTCAAAATCATTCGATTGTGCCCAACACTAATTTTGGGCTATATTATGAATTTTAAATAAAGACTCAATTTTTTTCATAATTTGGAAGATATTAGCTTTCTTGGTAAAGACATGTGCAATTGTTCTACTTTTACTAAAAGTTATTGATTAAAAAAATTATCAAAGTTGAAAAAAAAAGAATTATAAGTTATGCCAATTAATAACTGTAATAGTGAAAAAAAATCGAATAATAGTTTCTTTAGTCAGCGAAATAACACTATTAGACTTTAAAATTTTAGATAATCTGTGCTGATGACACCAATTATATTTTTTATTTTAATTTATGGATAAATAATGATGATTTTCTAAAAAATAACTAAAGTAAAGTATGTAATTTCTCGTAATGAACAATGAATTTTTTTGGGATGCTAGGAAATTAAGAACGATTTTTGTCTTACATAACACGGAATAATTACTCATACAATAATTATGGGAAGCAGTCAATAATTAAACAGTTTATTACTTCCGCTTCATAATTGTATTATTTTCACTTTCATTATTATACATAATTTATTTACCTACAAACGGGTGTAACAGCGAATACACAAGAATTTACCTTACTGTTTAAGAAATTGCATTAAATGTAAAAAATAAAAGATAAATAAATTTCGAAACAGAAACTTTTCTTTAATACAGAATTAATTGAAAATTAATGTATTTTATAAAAATAATTGCTTCAATCCCTATTTTAATCTTGGAAAATAACAACACCACTAAAATTCTCTCCTTAATCGAAATGGGGTGTATGTACTTTATAATTTTTTATTATTAATTTAAAACCCGACATTTAATTTTTATTGGGGGCTTTTGCAGAAAATTATACAACATTTTACTTGGCTTTTTTTGAATGTTTTTATTGGCACTTTTTTCAGAAAAAAGGTAGGTATGTTCTATTAAAAAAAAATAGTTATTTTGTAGAGTAGACTTCTTTCACGAGTAGATAAACAATCTTTATCGTCGTGTATAATATTTCGTTTTATTTTGTACTCACCTACCAGAATTTCTTGAATATAAACAGTAGATAAAAATTACTTTCACTAGACGATAAAAGTCTACCTTATCTACTAAAATTAGTTGATAAAAGCACTCTTTAAAATTGAGACAAAATAATCGTCTTTTATTTATTAAAATTGGTTTTGAGATTAAAAGTTTTATCAAGGCAGAGTATCAAGTTGTCAAAATTTGAAGTCTGCTTGAAACAATTAATTACGATTCACGATCTTTTTTCTAACCAGAAAAGTGTCTATAAAAACTGAAAACTTGTTGGACAATTTTCTTATTACTTGTTGTTTCACATTTAATTCGCATCATTGTTAAAAAAAGGCCAAAAGTATGTTAGTTTTTGCTAAAACCGTTCTTAAATTATAAATTTTGTTTACAAGACTTTCTTTTAATCAGATTTACCTAGAAAATTTGCATGAAAATCTTCCTCCTTTTCGGTTCCATTGGTTAATTATAGGTCGTCACGCATTGAATTGTTCGAATTTAAACGGCGTAACAAACAGCTAGGCGCGATTATTTTGAATAACTGTGTTTTACCAAAATTCGTTCCAATTTTCAATATTATGTTCTAAATTCTCAATAAAACTTATTACCTGCACCAACCTGGCGTCGGTGATTCCCCAAGCTTTCTCAAGCAGCAGTCCCAAAACGGCCACAACCCACCACAAATCACCAATCTTCGACATTATTAAAACCCACTTTCATGTTTCACCGTCGCAGTTCAAAATCACACTAAGACAAAAGGCAGTTGTCGTAATTTGAGGTGTGTTTGAAGACTGGCGTGACAAATTGTTCTTCAGTTAGTTAGGGTAAGCCGTGTGGAACAATGTCGCGCGAACTCTTCGCAATCTTCTTTCTTCGTAAAAGACGCATTGCGTACTGAAGGAGTCTTGGACGCGTGCCGCGGGGAAACACCCCTCACGTGCTCAAAGGTGACCCAAGAAGCCAACCGTGGCAGATCTGGCTTTAAGGACACGTTTTGCGAATTTACTTTGATTGATAACAATTAAGCAAGTGGATATCCGTTTCTTATTCGAAATGTTTAGTTCCAGTTGGGCATCTTCATTCATAAAAGAAGATTGCGTTTTAATAACGCCGCAAGGCTGAAATTATTACACTTAAACTGAGCAATTTTGGATGACAATAAAGTTACCTTCAATTTACAAAAAGGTTTGGGGAAGTAGTTTTTAAAATTTTGAATCAACATCATTTTGAGTGCTACAATGAGCTACTTTTGCGCACTAGTGCTAATATGGACTTTCATTTTGCAACGATTTTTATACAACAATTTTATTTAGAAATAAAATAAAAATTACAATTGGTTAATTTCGAACAACAAATACCAGAAGTTACACGCAATTCGTCAGATATGTGAACATTCGAAGCTCCCAAAAACGATAAAGGAGTAACAGCTTCATTAAATTTAATTTTTTTTTAATCTGGGTGTTTTCCTGATCTTCTCCACCTATTAGCAACTTGCAGATCTTCTTTTTATCCTCTAAAGAATCATCTACGTATTCTTCAGCTACATTTGAGGATTTCCAGGCTACATGTCTTTTTATAACCGACATATCAGCTCCTGCGTTGGCTAATAAAGACGCTAAAGTTCTTCTAAAGCAATGTCCAGTATATTCTTTTGCACTTGGGAGTTCCAAAAAAATTGCAATTTTACTTGGGAGACCACCGAAGGTATTGATGCCCAGTGGTTGCACGGTACATCTTCCCTTTTTATAATTTAAAAAAATCTGGCATGAGGAGTATGAGATGGGCGCAGTGTTGCATATTTGCGAACCATATCCACCAAGTTTAGGTCTTTAAAATTTCCTTTTGTTACTGTGAACTCACGCGGCACTTTTGTTTTAGGGATCGGCAACATAATTTTCAAAAAAAAGTCATGTCGTGACAACTTGACAAATTTTATATCATTTTGTTCGTCTCAGTGAGACAAATCAAATGCACAAAAAAAATTTCAAAATGTCCACACACTTTGAAGCTAAAGGGCAAGACCATCCCTTTAGAATGGTCTTTATTTGAAGGAAATCGGCCTAATAGTTATTGAGTAATGATTTTTTAAATTCATTTAAATTAGTTCAAAGTGTGTGCACTTTTTGAATTTTTTTTAGTGCATATGATTTGTCTCACTAAGACGAATAAAATGATATATAATTTGTCAAGTTGTCACGACATGACTTTTTTGTCGCCCTGTGTAATTAAATCTTCTACATCATTTACTTTTAAATTGAGTAATTCTTGCCTCCGTCAAGCTCCCGTAACTCCTATTATTGAAACCACCTGAAAACAAAAAATAAATAGTAACCAAACTTATACGCCAAAAAAACTCTTACTTTTTGCATTAAGTAATCTTCTTCATTTGCTGTTGCAAGAAACTTTTCAATATTTTTCTTACTGAAGCTTTTAGATTTCTTGGCGTGATATCCTTCACTTTGTCGTTTCAAAAATGCGATCAAATTTGTGTATTTACTCAAATCAAGGTTTTTGTTGATTCAAATCATGGAATATACACTCCACAACGTTGAGGACTTCACAATTTTTGATTTTTCAAGGAAGTACGCCAACATCACTTTCTCATTAATGCAATTTACTTTTTGTTTAGACCTCCATTCTTCGAAACGGCTGTATGTTGTCTCGTAAGCGACGCGGGATTTCTGGGGCATTAAATGTTTCAATACGTTCTAGAACGTTGTCTACTTCTGAATCACTCATTTTTTTTCCAAAAACAGTTAAATAATCGCAAACTTTTAAAAATGCGACAATCTTCAGATCGTTTTCGTTGTTTATTATAAAAATTACAGTAACCAATCAAAAATTTTCAGCCACCTATCTTTTAAATTCAATTTATTCGCGGTAAAAATTAATTAATATTTTACTCCATTTTGGCAAAATTGTAAAAAACCTTGTATGCAACTCGTTACAATACTTGGAAAGCCTTCGTATTGCAACTAGTTGTATAAATAGCTATTTTTTGGGGGAAGGGACTACTGACACACTTTTTGATCGTTTTAAAAACTTTATTGATGACATTGAGACAGTTAGGCATTAGCTTTATTTGTCTATTTTATGTTTGTTGAGAAGTATATTATAAATTTAGTGTCTATTTACTTATTACTTAACACGTTCACCACCTCGAAGTGGAGATAATAAATTCAGAATCAACTATTGTAGAAAAAGTCTTGCAACGTTTATATTATGAAAAAACAACAGAATGAGTGAATACAATAACAATAACAGTGAAACACAGGTGGTAGCAAACGTGTGGACTATATACATAAGTTATTTTTGAATGTATTTTGTTTTTTAATATTTTTTAGATTGTGTTTAAGCCCGATAAACATTCCAACTTAACTTAAAATTGGGCGTGAATATTTATTTTCCAATGTTTTATGTTTTTTATTTATAATATACGTTTGTAATACAATATAAAATAATGCTCCTAACACACTCGTTTTTTCTCATTTTTGCTTAGGTAAAAGTTTCCAGAATTTTCGTATATCGTATATTAATAACAAAATAATAAATACTTATGAAATAAAATATTGAACTTTAACTATTTACAATTTTTCCCTTAAAAATATTAAATTCGTTAAAATATTTGCAAATAGTATACACGAATCCAACACATCCTAAGATTTCAGTCCATTGGATTACAAAATTTTACACTCAACTATGCTAGAATTTTGTTTCTAATCAGTCGGACATAAGCAACAAAACCAAAAGAAGCACAAGAAAATACACTGAACATAAAACTGTCACACGCATGTTATTGTTCCACATGAGAATGATGTTTAGATGTTACATGAATCACCTAATGATCAAAAATGCTGTACAATTGTTACTTTCGACAGTTGGCACTATCTAAATATAACAAGATTTAGGCCGAACTTTATCCTAACAATTAGGAGGAATAATGGCATGACTGCAATATTTTCACTCGCAGAAAAGCCGGTTCCACCCTTGGTAAAATAAAATTAAACAAATTTCACTTTTTGTATATTTATTAATAACAAAATGAGAGGTCATACAAAATAATTTAATTAACAAAATAGTGTAACAGTATTGCAATCAGCCATTACATTATATAAACATAAAAAATCTAAAACATTTTTTTCTAAATAAAAAAAAGTTTTCTACTATATACATTAGGCTGATTTTAACACATTTTAACGTTTGTCGCAATTACTACGATGAACTCTTGTTGATATACTTAGATTCGGCCAACCTATGTATGGACGCATCGCCATCACCCAGTTGTGTCACCTGCAAAGCACCAAATAACCATATAATGACCTTCCTAGGTCCAACATTCACACGTAAGCTGGTCACGTTAGTGATGAACAAGAGTTAGTTATGACCATGCAATGAGCATCACAAAAAAAAAAACAGAAAATGAAAAACACATGCACAAAACTACACAAAGTCAAAAAAAGAATCATTCATTGTCGACTTATTTATTGAATTAATAAATAAAAGAGTGTGTTAAGACTATAAAAAGTGCTTAAAATTACAAGATAAACTACATAGATACAATTCAACAAAGTAATATCTACCAGAAAGAAAAAATAACAAAAACACGATACAATTCTAAAAAGTATATAAATTGATAAAAAATTGCACTCCTATAAATTATTTACAAATTTCTCTAAACCCTTCATATCACGTTATCCTAACTAACACGAGGTCCGAAAATCCCTGTATAATTGCACACAAATCACAACCATTTACTCCGGAGGCGGTGGGGGCGGTATGTCAGGCGGCGCGTCCATCGGCAAGGGCGGGTTGGACCCTGCCGGGGGTGGCAGCGGCGGCGCTTGCTGATACATTTCCGCCGGAAACGCGTATCCCCCATTATAAAAATTGTACATCTGACCTTCCGGATACATATACTGACCCACCCCCATATGCGGCGGAAAATAGTACATGTTTTGCGGATACATCGGCGGCGGCACGTTGTGATAGGCCGACGACACGGGGGGCGGCTGTGCCACCGCACTACTCTTACTATATTCGCTTACCTTATTATACGAATGTCTCCCATTCTGTTTGGAATCCTTGCTTCGGGAGAGCTTCGCTGGGGGGCCCTCAGCCGGACTGCCGCGGTCTCGTTCCCGCTTTCGGCTTTTCTCGTGCTCAGGATTGCAGTTATTGATAATCTCGCGCGGGATCTTGATTTTGAGACCAATCGGCGCCGGCGCTGGATTCTCCTCAGTCTTTATCACATCTTTCGGGATCTTTATCTTGATAGGATTCGGCATTTGCTGGATCTTGTCTTTCTGTATCTTGATTTTGATTGGTTCGGCCGCTGGTTCGACCACCGTCTCATGTTTCTCTTTATGTTTGTGCTTTTCCCTATCTTTATCCTTGTGTTTCTTTTTCTTCTCTTTCTCCTCTTTACTCTTATCTTTGTCTTTATGTTTGTGTTTCTCTTTGTTTTTCTTTTTACTTTTGTGGTGATGTTCTTTGATTTCGACGGGTGGTTCAACTTTCGGAACTGTACTTGCAACCACTGGTAAATGAGGTACTGATGGCGCTTCTTTTAGTAAACTACTAATAAGCATCGGATTTGTTTCGATGCCATTGACAATCGGTTGAGAGGTCGATATGTTGTTATCAGAACACAAAGGTGGAATAATATCGGGGGGTTTCATTTCTTTGGAAAAACTAATTGGGGGTTCTTCACGTTCATGCTTCACGTCTGTTATCGGAGTAATGATATCGGGAATTTGGTGAAGTTTATTGATTCCAATCGTGGAATCCCTCATCAAATTCTCGAAACCTTCAACTTGGTCTATTTTCTTTAAAACCGGCCTCAATTCGGGCTCCGAACCAGTCGAATAATTCCTGACTCTTTTACTAACATTTGTCGGTGATTCAAGAGGGGAAAGCATCGCTTCCGATTTTATTTGAATCGGACTCGGAGATTTTTTCTCCGGTGAGAAAAGACTAGGTTTCTTGACAGGATTTAACTCCTCTTTCACCTTCTCTTCTTCTTTTAACACCTCCTCCTTAACGGGGGCGTTAAATGCACTACTCCCGTTATGGTGGTGCGGTTTGACCGGCGGCGGCGGCGGTGGCGGGGCTTGCCCCACACCCGACTTGAGGACGGATTTCGATGTGTCTAAAGGCGACTTGACTTTTTGCGAGGTAGAGTTCATCGATTTACTTAAATAAACACTATTCCTATCATGTCCTGGCACACTATGCGGTCTTTTCACTTCACTTTCCGGCTTAACAAACGACTTTTCGTCGTGCCTTCGAACCTGTTCATGTTTCACGGGAACTTTATTCGGAGGCGGCCGATTTTTATCACCGTTATAGTAATTGTTCGTTTCCGCTACCACATTCGGTTTTAGTAGATAATCGCGCGTTTTCGGAACGTCTTTCTCATTTTTATTAAAGTCTTTGGTTGCTATGCCAAATGGCGAGTCTCTAGCCGCTTCCCGTAGGATATCGCGGGGCTCAGTTCGGGCAGGGGGTGGGTGTGATGAAGACGGCCTTGAGTGAGGTTGCTTCAATTTGGGGTCCACGGGGGGACGGTGATGCCCATGAGGCACTGCCGGTTTGGCAGCCCCCGGGGGCGGCACTTTCATGCCGTGTTGTTGCTGAGCTAGTTTCTCCCTTTCTTTCTTTTCGCGATACTCTCTCTCGCGTTGTTGCTGACTGGTCGTAGCCGATTCGTGAGGTCTGGAAGATCGGTGCTTGTGGGGGTCACTTTCTGATCCTTGAAGAAATATTTCAGTTAACTCTTTCAGGTACACACTTTAATGTATTTAAAATACCGTACAGGTACAGCTATTTACTGGATTTTAAAAATAATCATTTTTCAAGTTGTTTTAAAAAATAGGTATTAAAAATAGCACTGACGACAGACCAATTATTTTAGATTTGCAGATTTTTTTACTTTCTCCGGTAATCTCATTAACTTCATGAACTCCTCATAAAATCTCGTACATTTTTGATAATTTCAAAGCATTCTTAATATGAAGTAGTCATTTTCTATTACTTATTTAGTGACATAATAGGCATTTAAAAAAATAAATTAAGAAAATAAAATAGTATTATAATGAACAAAGAAAAATAACAACAAATAATAAAAACAAAAGCAAACTAAATAATACGTACGATAGCTAACAAAAGTTATTATTTTTTGTAGTAATATGCTTGAAAGCAGTTTTTCTGTTTGCCTTAACAATGAGACACTCTACAAGTTACACACTGCCAATTACTTCTAGATTCTTGTTGCTTGGTGCTACATAATGCAAGTACCAACGAAATAGAAAAAAATTCAGTGACACTATTTATGACTTTTTCAATTGAGTACAGTGACGGACAGTGAATTTTGTCCAACCAATTTCCATGACAGACTAAAAGTGTAAATTAGTCTTTAGGTTTTTCTAACTTTGTTTGAGAACTTTAATGAACATTTATCATGTTGACAAAATGCCCGATATTCCTTACCTACTTTTTACCTATGCTTTGTCTTACATTGCTTGAGGTATAGTAGCAATCCATTTTTAGATTGGAAATCCGGTCCAGAATGAATAAGAATTTAATTAAACTTGACAGTGTCAGTTATCATGACAATAAAGCACAGGCTACAGTGAATTTTTGTGAATTCACAGAAATTCAGTGGACGAAATGCACTGTCCATCACTGTACGTCATCAACTGATCAAATTTATCAATAAAGTTCATGTTATTGTTGTAATTTTCCACAACATCAGGACATACCACTCATATCTCAAAAAACTAAGAATAATACGAAATACAGTCAGTAAAAATGGAAAATTTTATCAATGTAAATGTAAATTGGTTACCTAAATAGGCTGGAAATGCTCAATGCCGTCACGAAGCCAAAGTTTTTGCCTGATAAACCTAAGGATCGAAATTCTAATCCCAATGAAAGAATTTTTTTTTGTTTTGTTTTTTTTCCTCTTTGTATTTATAATAATCATTATCTGTTACGTGTATATTCTCAAAAAACAATTCAATTTTTGTAAGTTAAAATAAGTATCATAAAAATGTAGGTATTTCAAATTAATTAATAAATTGTATAGTTTTCATAATAATTTTAAGTTCATTAATTGTAAATAAAAAAATGTGGTAAACTCTACAAGAATAATGTCTGTATTATTAAAAATATTACCATTAATGAACAAAACTGCTCAAAAATATAAATTAAGGTGAGTTAAAATTTAACCCAACGTCCCCCAAAGAGTTTAAGAAAAAAATTGTTCAAATACAAATTTCTTACCTGTTTTACTCTCGTGTGTTCGATGTGGATGTTGGTCTTTCTGGTCCGAACTGACAATCTTTTTCGGATCAGTATCCTATAATCAGGTGCAATTAAAAAAACTCCATACCATAGTAAAATACTTACGAAAGGTGAATTCGTGATAGTCGTAGAGCAATTATGCATTCCGTTATCACCGATACTCATGATTTTCTCTTTGAGTCGAGAAGGACAACTTTCAAATATACTCAGAAACTCGGTGGTGAGTTGTTGGAGTAATTCGGATGTTACTGTTGGATCCACGTACAGAAACCATTCTTTCTTTTCGGTGGACAACGGTATTTCCCAACTTGACCATTTACACGCTAAATGAATGCAAAAGCAAGCTACTACAGTCGGTTTGTATTGGAGGCACATTGTGGTAAGATGCAAGCTAGAAAATTGCCAAAAATCATAATGGGGGGTTCGATTTTTTCGAAAAATCCCCACCTGTTGCTGGCCAAGAAATATGAACTCTGTGCTAAATCCTTACTGGCACGAACAAGATGACAACATCTTACAACGTGGGTGTGTGGATGGTCGATTGCGACATCAAAACCCAACGTTTGGAGTAAGACAGTTTCATTAAATACTAAATCCTGTGACAGAGTTTGATACCTAAAAAGTGGCAATTGATTAAAATTGTTTTCAATTTCCGGAAAAAATAACTACCTTTCCGAATTTACGTCGATATTTGTATCTCGATTATTTCTGCACATATTGGCAACTCTAATAACGTATTCTAATTTCCTCGGTTGTTCTTCTACTTTGGCGGCTAGAAACAATGCCGCCGCCGCCATTTGGTGCCAGGGAAATTGGGTAAAAGAGTGGAATACATAGAACCGATGCATGTATACGATGGCGGTGTTGATACATAATTGTGAACTGTTTTGCGTTAAGGAAATGACAATTCAAGGTTGGCAAAAAATTACATCAGAATTATCTTTAATTATTCATTGCTTATAATTCAAACCCAACAATTCGAAAAAATAGTTAAGCAATAAAATACGTATTAACCCATGACGTAGAAAAGTATAATATTCATCATCTGATAAGATAATTATCCGCGTCCCAGATAAGTATTTTTTTAATTTGTTAATTTCTAATTACGATTATATTACTAAATTTCAAAATAAAACACTTAAGCTGTATATTTATTATTTATTTCTTTCTCAAGCCACAAGATCAGATTTCACATTCCCAAAACTGGAAATCACAATTGAGCTTTTGGTAATAAAACTTCAAGAACACAATTCTGAGACTATTTTATAAATTGTGTGGCCGAGCAAGTAGCTAATTCTTAAAATAACAGCAGTTATTAATACACACACCATTAAGTTTAGTGCATCATAAAAATTCGAAGTAAATAAATATTTACTTTATAATCATGTAGTGCTTATCAAAAGCACAAATGTAATTTAAATTGGTAACTACATTACTCGTCGAGCCAGTTCGTTTTAGTAGGCATTCAAACAATGTCAACAGTGGTCGGTTTTATTTTTTTATTAATCAGTATTAGGTTTTGTGATAATGAATATAGAAGAATGTGTGCGATTGTGTAATAAAAAAACGACGCCGAAATTTTGTTTTAAGTACGAGGAATAGCAAAAATTATGTCAGATATACAGGATGCGCCAGAATTCGCGCCCATATAAGGTTAGATACCAGGAACATGGAAAAAATGTTAAAAAAAATTATCTATAATAATTTCGAAGTTATGAGGGTTTAAAGTTTGCACTTTGACTCTATTTATTTCTGTTGGAAAAATAATTTTCCAAGTGTTTTTACTATAGGCTATTAAAAGAGGAAACAAGTAAGCTGTATCCTAAATTGTAACTGTGTTCAATGTTATTTGTGGCTTTTATTGGAAATTTTTTTGTCCCTTTACTAAATAATTGTAAAAAAACATATACAAGATCATCATTATCCTTAAATAGATATAAAAAATGTCAAATGTCAAAAATTTTTGACAGAGAATTTTTTAAACATTTTTTTCATGTTCCTGGTATCTTACCTTACATGAAAATTTTCTCTGGGGCGCGAGTTCTGGCGCACCCTGTAGAAGGAATAATAGCCTACATGCAAGGAACAAAACTGGTGACACTTGCAAAAACTGTTTTAAGACAGACTAAATGTTTCAACGATTTTCGTAATGGAAACTAGTGAATAAAGTTCACACTGACATAAAATGCTCTAAAATTTTCAAAAAGTAAATAAAAATCAATTTATTATTAAAAATCCGTAAGAGCATAAAATAGTGCGTTTGTATGAACATAAATAAAAAAATGTTTAACAAAAAAAAAAACAAACAAAACACAATTATTTCCTTATTAAATTATAAAACTTGTAAAAAGTTGAGATGAAAAGGAAGTTTCAAGACCAAATCAATTGAAAAATAAAGTTGCAAGAAATATAAACATCTTTTAATAAGAAATTGATTTTATTTTTTACTTTTGTGAAAGATTACAATTATTTTACATCATACAAATCGCAAATTAAAGTGTTGCATAATAAGAATGACAGAGCTACTACAAAGAATATTAAAAATTGCTTTGAAGAAATAAATAAAAAAAATATAATAAAATCGTCGACCTACAACAAACGTAGAAAAGAGTTAAGTAATAAATTTTCTGGAAAAAAAATAAATATGTTGAAATAATCCTGAAAAGCATAAAAATCACGTAAGGCGTTTTAACACACGTGTCGTGTGAACGCCGCTTTATCACATTTGCATGAAACGTCAAATATGCGCAGTAGAGGGGGCTATCTACGTCACTTACGAAACATGGCGCAATAGCTCCACAATGACCTAAAACAAGGGTCGTGGGGCCGTGTGGCTGCGCCTGGGGGCTGAAATTCGCGAATTCTACGTGTTAAAATGCAAACATGCGGGAAGGATACACTTTGAGCCTCTGTCCCATGTCCTGGATGAAATTGGCAGTCTGCTGTCTGTAGGACAGCTCCTTGTAGCTATCATATCCGCATTTCCTTGAGGGCGTAGCGTCCAATTGGTCTTTCGTGAAATACCATCTATCGCTGTTATTAGCCATTTACTGCACTCGACACGACTCGCGATAACAGCAAGGCAAGTGTCGCTACGGCTCGAAAACAGACTATTCCAGGTCATTTGCTAATCTTATTGGGGCAAATGGGGGCGCATTGTCGCGAAATTTAGTCACATAAACTACACTTTTATCCAGAAAATCGGCTTCAAGGGTTTCCGTTGCGTCACTACGATGTGGGTTTTCCTAGAAGTGGCACTGGTGCAAATCGGGTTGGTTTTTCACGGGCAAATCTCCGGTTACAAATCTCGAATTTATCACGAATTATTACTTAAAGTTTACTGAACGCTTTTGTAAAGTTTTCCACGCGAAAGAGGTAGTTCTTTAACAAATTAAAATATACATACACAAAGTTGTTGGAATTTGATGTTATTTCACACAGAGATGGCCGACCAACCGCGGTAAGCAAGCCCACAACTTTCACAAAACAAACACCAAAACCAACCCCAAACCCAAAAACCCCAATACCCCAAAAAATCACAAATTAAACCCGATTAAATACCTCAAAAAATCACAGAAATCCGCTAAAGCCCTTAACTTGATAAACTAACAACAAGCATGGCTTTGATTAAAGATGTCTGCCGTCAATTTCCGCTCAGGACGCCACCTTTCAAAATTTACCGCCAAACAAACATAACCTTGTCGAAAACAAAGCTAGACGCGCAAAACAAAACTTTCACAATTTTTAGGATGCAGTTCCCGGAAAAGCAACCAAAAACCAACCACACCCCTTCAACAACTTCAGAAAGAGACGTAGCAGCCCTCAAAGCAGAACTAGAAATAGAACTCAAGAACAAAAAGCAGTGCAATTACAAACCATATGAATGCACCCAACTCACCCTCGACGGTTTCAATTACTGCCTCAAACACATCCTCCAAGATAAGGCAGCCCCGTATAGGCAATGCTCGTACATTTACGCCAGCAACGGGAAACGCTGTCAATTAGCAGCCCCCAAAATTGAAAAAAAAGACTGCGGGTACTGTAACGAACACGCAGTTAAGGTCACACTTGAAAAGAACAGACAAAACTCGAGGCTTCAACCACCACAAACTGCAGAAGTACTTATTTATTCCTTGGGACATTATTTGAAGAAACCTAGGAATAGGACAGCATCTGGGAGTGGTGAGGAGGCAGAGAGAGCTCTTGTTGAGGAATCTGAGGCTAAAAGCACCAAATGTTTAGATCCTTTTCGTGAGTCACACTTTTTTAAAACTTTTCCAAATATAAATAAACGTGTTTAGGTGATATTGACGCCAATGCCTTGTATAATTCTACATGTAACAACATTTTGGACTTCTGTAGTGAGTCTGATAGCGATGTGGAGGCTTCAACATTTGCGTCAGTCTGGCATGATGCACAAAATGACAGTTCTGATAACGAAAGTGTTGATTCAGAACAGGAAGACGTTTTAAAGTTAGTTTACAAAAAAAAAAATAGATTTGTATTTAAGTTTTTGTGTTTGAAGGCATGCTAATGTGTACACAGCAGAAGAAATCAGTTCCATTACGAGAGAAAAGTTAATTAAACTTCAATCATTATACATTGAGCAATATCGTCATTTACAGCATGTTTTTAAGGAATGCAAAAGAAAATATGTTTATAATTTAAGAAGGGAAAAGGAAACTTGCTGTAAGGTTACATAATAATTACGTTCAATTCATTTTAAATTGTTTTTCTAGGTAACATTTATAACCAGATACGTGAAAATCCCAAAGAACAGCGGCTATATAAAAAACTCAAAGCGTTAAATAAGTATCATAAACCACATGGAGTTCAAGCTATACTTCATAAAAGAGAACATGATTCACGTGCTAAGGTTTGTTTTGGATTGTTTACGTTTTTTATTATTAATAAATAAAATTTAGATTACAGATGGTTTGTTTTCAAAAGCACCAGGATACTCAAGGTGTATGTTTACAGAAGGTGGGGTCAAATGTGGAGAAAGAACTCTGCCTCTGGCTAGGCATTGCAGAAAACATATTTTAGAGGTAGTTACTTTCTTATTGCAACGTTTTTTTTTTCACAGTGTTGTAATTGTAGGATCAAAATCAAGTATTATTCAGACCGTGTGGTAAAAAGAGAGCGGATGTAGAATGTAAAACACCAGTTGAGGCCATATTTGAAGATAGTTGTTGCAATTTGCACATGGACATACCTCCAATTAAATCATATGCACAATTACGGGTACTGACAATTTTTTTTATAAAAAAATATCACACAATAATTTTTGAATATCAAGTTTTGTTCATTTCACGTCGCTAAAGCAACGGTGACTAATTAGTAATAAATTACAAAAATTCAAAATTGGGTGTGAGAAAAAAATGTTGTATGCTACTCAAGATTAAGGCTAAAGGGGAACATGTTTTAGTTCGTTGCTAAAGTGGCAGATGGGCCGGAATTTATATTTCTATTTTCTCTTTTATTCACATTTTTTATAATTGGAAAAAAAGTTTCGGACTTAAAATATTATTTGAAAGCTCGCCAACGTAACGCTTTTTTAATTTGTGTTTTTTTT